AAAAGGAGTGTCTATAGGCAAGGCTAATTAGCAGTCACAGAAAGGGCAGAGCTACAACAAAGCTTTGAGCCAGCTGACTGGAACAGCTTCAGATGTTTGTGCTCAGCACAGGGTAATTCTGCACTGGAGCTGCAGGGAAGCTGCACACAGTACACAAGGTAGGAGGGGTGGATAACACTCAACAGCATCAACACTGAGAAGTCAAATTTTGATGTCTTCACTTTGCTTTCTTTTTGGATGAAAAAATTTGTATTGCTGAAGTTCTTAATCCAGTGTTCTTACTCTTGCTTATTTTGACTGTTTTGATCCTAGAAGAACATTAGCAGGTCAGACATACAGTCAGTCTGGTCCAAAGAATTAAAAACACTGCGGAAAGATTCAGTGTACAAAAGAATGCAGCAGATAGTCCTAATATTGCATTATACAAAGATCACTTGTTATAAAATGAATAAAGAAGAAAATGCCACCACCCAGATTTTGTAGCTTTCCACAAAGTTCCAATTAGAACCATGATATAAGGGACAATAACTTACTATTTGTCACAGTAATTTCTGAGAGTGTTATGAACTTAAGGCATTTTGGGCAGGGCACAAAGAATGGAAAATCTTAGCTAAATGAAATAATGATCTCTTTTCATTTAGCTTACTGTGCAAACACTTCTGTAACCAGAAGCTGCCTTAGTCAGTTTACCAAGTCAGGGGATCAGGCATGTGTGATGGGATGTGCAGTCATAAAAGAAGAGGTGATTGCTACAAGCATGATAAGCTGTGCAGGTTTTAGGCTTCTAGAAAGAAGTTTCATTTTCATTCTCTGACAGCAGAACATGTAGTTGCTGTGCAAATGTAAACTTACTACAGACTTCCCACAGGAAGGAGGCCCTAATGTGGGAGAACCGCCTTCTTAGCTTGATTTAACCCAGGTTTTTCCAAATAGCAGCTATCTGTAATATCTACTTATTTCAGACTCTGTAGAGCCCTGAGGCAGTGGGAACTGTTGAGAAGAGTCCCCAGAAAAGGAAAAAAAGTCTGGTCCTAAGGGTCCAGGATGTGCAATCTGCTAATTAATGAAGCTTTCTGCAGCATTTCTGCACAACTGTAGGTGAAATTTAATTATATTAAAGAATAGCAAATCACTGACCCAATTACATATGGCTGAAAACAAGGACTGGACACAATATTTTGCAGCTTCTGCTGTGTGGTAGGTGCACATACCTCATTTTCAATTTGGATTTCAGGTATACCAGAATGAGCAGGGTAATCATGATCCAGACAAAAGGCTAGATCACCTGAAAACTTAGTTGCAGGGTTGGCAAACTGGCCTGAAGACAAAGGTTCTGTAAGCAGCAAGAGAATTGAAGACCAGAGTCCTTTGAACTTGTATCTACTGACTGACTTCAAGCATGCTAAAGGAAAGATGTAACTTTAGTCTAGTCCTTCTTGCATATCAAATGATCTATGTAGATGCAGTCATTTTCTTTATCTTTGAAAAAAAATCTCTGTGCAGCTTGTGTAATTTTCTATAAACAAAAGATTTGCATCCTTTTCTAGATAATAGATCTTATAACATCTTGTTCTAGTTTTATGTTTCTTTTTAGCCTTTCTCTCAATGAAGACAGCAGAAGTCTCTCTTCTCTGACCAGCTGCCTGTTTGCATGGTAGGAATTTGCAGTCTCTGAGACTGCATGCTAAATCTGGCTGCAGCTGATGAATGGTTTTAAAAGCTTTTCTGGGGGAAGGTGGGTGTAAGCAGTGTGTTCTGGCACAAGACTTTCCTTCTCTGGAATTGTAGGCCTCTGTATAGGAAGCCTATCTAAGACAGATGTTACAAAAACTGCTCACGGTATATTCACCTGCAAAACACTCTGACACTTACATTTCTATAATTCATGGCCATGGCTATAGGAACACAAGCCAATCATCACTTCTGACATCTTAATTGTTACTTGGCTTAATATCTCTACAGGGACTTAACTTTGCAGAGTGCAGATGTTCCTAACACAGAAATGGGCCCCCTGAAGATGACCTCAAGCTGAACAACTCAACTAACTTTTACATTTCTTAAACTCTCTGGAGGCCCACTTCAAGTGTAGGTCAAGTCCTGCAGGACAGCAAAGATCTCCTGGAAGTTGTTCTGTTCTTTCTGAACTTACTGTCTTGAAGAAGGGTTAGATGGAACTGATTGCTCAGGCAAACTAAATCAGGAAGCTTTGCCAGATCAGTGTGAGATAGAAAAGGGACACAGTGCTCGAGTAAAGCACATATCAAGTGCTCATCAAGTAACTCCAGTGCAGCTGAGTTTGCTGTTTCCCTTTTGCAGCTATTTGCACTCCACAGAGAGGCTTAGGTTGGCATAACTACAGTATCTGTTCCAAATCTTGCCTTTGTGCACCTAATGGTTTTTTGCTCCCTTTGCATTACCTTTCTTGTCCTGCATTTCTTGACAACTGCAACACTTCTGTGTTTCTCTAGCTTTAGGCTGCCTACAGAAGACTTCAGTCATTCCTTCATATATACACATATTTCTGAGAAGCCTGAAAGCAAGTGTAAGGGTTTGGGGATCACTCATACATACAAATGACTTTGAAGCAAGGTTGTCTTTCCCTCCTGCAGTTAAACAAAACCAGTGTCTAGACTGAAAATGTACAGCACCCATGAGCTGTCCTGTTTAAAAATATGAAGCTCTCAGCATGGTGTAATACTGTGCTTGTTTCTAAACTCAGTTGTTGATTTTCATGCCAAAAGTTATAGATGAACCTGTGAGTGCCAGCATTTGTCCCAGCCTAGCTCTAGTTCTTTACATTACAAAGCATTACATTTTGCCAAGAGTAGAGCGAGTTTCAATTGACTGCAAACATTTTTGTGGAAAGGCAATTAAATACTACCCGTTGCTTCACATACCATACAGTCTTTTCACTGGCAATATGAGGTATTTTAATCCCTGAAACAGTCTCCTTGGATAAGTGTTTTTAAATCTTTGCAGCTCTCTGAGTTATTATATTTTACAGAATTCTTGAACTAAGATATACATACAAGCAGTAGTATGTAAGCAGCTTTCAAGTGGTACATGATTTGCCATAATGCCAGGGATGCTTCTGCCAGCTGCTGTTTTGGTTGACAACAGCACCTGACAAAAAGTAATTTGGATTGCCTTCCCCTCCAGCTCTTTAACCATGGATAAAGACTCATTTTTAGTCAGGGGCTACTTTAAATACTGCAAACGGCCTAAAGGCCTTGCTAAAACATATCCTTAATTTTACAAGCACAAGTGTTTTCCAAAATGTTCACCTTCTGATAGCTTATCACAGTTTATCAGCTCCAACACCATTTCTAATAACTCCATGTGTAAATCTCTGTCACTTTAAATTCCTTTGGTAAACAGAAATCATGGAATGAGATTAGTAACTTCCTGCTTCCTTTATTAAGCTATGCAGTGAGATTTTTCCAATCAATTTCTTTTGCAATAAGTAAAAAAATACACTAACTAACACAGTGGTGTAGCAAAGTGATTACTAAATAGTTACTCACATTTTTGTCTCCTCATGTAAACAAACTTGACTATTAGCACTGCCCCAAGCAAAACCACTGTAGAAAGAATAGCATGCCACCTTCTCCCCTCTCCCAGTTTTATCTCCAGTTTTCAGAACAGGCTTGAAAAACAGCAACTGCAAAAAAACCTACTTCTGTTGTCTTGCACACTAAACTGTTTGAAAAGTCCAGCAAGAGAGCAGCTTTTGATCTGACAGGAACTGACCAGTACTATTGAGATCACATTACTCACAGCAGCCTCTCTAAACATTCAAAATACCACAAACATTAAAAAGCCTCTTTAGAATTAGCCATGCACTTCACAGAGGGATTTAAAAAGAGTCTTCTTACAAATATTCTTACAAATATCTGTTTCCTTACAAATATCTGTGTGTGTATATATGCTACTACTAAATTATGAAAAATACCTTGCAATGCACTAGTTTTTACATGTTTCATTTAAGCATTTTAAACCTCATAAAGTATTAATTTGAAGTTCTGCTAAACGAATACCTTTTAAAAAAGCCTCAAGTTTAGATTACTGACTCAAGATGACAACAACTCTAGAAAAAAGCCAGCTGAAAACAAATTTTTTCATACAAAATTGTAAGACTTAAAGGTAGGAGACCAGTGCACTACCTTTTGTGTTAACACAAAACTTTCTTGATTTAATATCTCCATTGTAGTTCTGCCATCTGACAACCGTGAATGCTTCTGACTTGTTTAACTATGTGGAATATTTTAAAATAAATGTAATTAGCATAAGAGTGCAGTTTTCTGAACACTTGAAAAAGCTATTAAAGTGCTGAGGAATTGCTACTTCAGCAGTGATGCTTCTTGTCATTAGATGAGATAATTAGTGTCAGTCAGCCAAAGACTAAATAAATATGCATTGTAGCCCAAAAGTCCACGTAAGCACAAGAACTGAATCTGTATATATTTGTGCTGGTCTGAACCTGTCTGTGCCAGACTGGTCACACCATTTTAGAAGCAAGTCCAGCCAACAGGATAACCAGGCTTTCAGGCATAGTTTGTGCTGCCGCAATCCTGAAGAGATACTATCAGGAAGCAGCAATCTTGTTTTTGCTAGCTCTGCCAGCATAACAAGGGAGTGACTCTGAAGGTACTTGCAAACTTTGAGAGGGAAAACTGGTATTTGCTATTCTAATTCACCAGCAGTGCAACCTGTTCTCTCTTTCTTGATGTATTGCTGCTATATTTGATTTAAAATTAAAAATAGTTTTCCTGTGAATTGTAAACCTAAGCTTACATATGAGATGCAGCCTGCATATTCCAAGGGCTTTTATGATGTGGATTAGCAAGGTCTCAATAAATTAAAATTTTCTGTACCTACCAAATCTGGTTTCAGTTTGTAGGTCAGAGGAAGAGAGTAAAGCATGGAGTACAGTGTTGTCACCACGGAGGAGCTCCAGGACTGCCTAACCTCGCGGCTTCTGGGAATGCGCTCCAGGCTGAACTGGAAAAGAGCACGGGGAGCGGAGCGGTTACTTTGCTGAGAATGTTGTGCCTCCTTCTATTACATCTCTGCCAGCCTTTTCCCCCTTTCCTTAGCCTCGTTTGGGGACGTTAGTGTACAAAACGCACACAGTACGAAGCACAGAGGAGCGCTGGCACCCGGAGCTGTCGCTCGGGCCTCTCGCTCGGAGCGGCGGGCGCGGGCGGCACCTCGCGGGCAGCGGCGGCGCCGGGGCCGGCCGGGATTCACCGCGGGAAGCGCCGCAGCCGGGCTCGCCCCTGGCCCCCGAGAGCCCTTAACTGTGAACAAGCGAACAGCACCCCCTCAGATCAGTACTCGGTGAGTATGCAAGAGATCAAATGCAAAATAGCTGTATAAAGAAACGGGAAAGAATTAAATACAAAATAGGTAAAGAAGTAACTTTCTTGGTTCTTTCTCGAAATGAAGATTATTCACGGTGTGTAAAAGGTATCAATTTAGTAAAGCAAGGAGGATTCCTTTTGTCTTGAAACCCCAGGAGCAGGGAGCAGGTGTTAAGCTGCCTGCCCTCCTTGCAGGTGCCTTTAGCTCAGTGGAGAGGAGCTGCACCTAAGAATTGTTGCTCTGGCACAAGGCACTCCTGATGCCAATGACATGTTGGACTGTTTTAATGGAAGACAAATGTAGTGGCTGCAGTGCAGTGCTCAGTGGTGCTGACATGTGGATAGTGGTTGTTACCTCACTTCACATGGGACACCAAATCACCTAACCACCACCCTGGAGGAACTTACTTGGGGTATGAGAAACGCTAAAATACTGAAAATTGCCCAGTTACTTCACGTGCATATTGCTAATTGTCATGGCTTAGTCCTGGTGATTTGTGCCCCTGAAAGGATGTTAACAAAAGTTGTATGGTAAATACAAACTACAAATCTGTCTTGAATAGTAGTAACTGGGACTATTTTTAATATATAAGGTACAAAGAATTAAAAAAAAAAAAACTTGTAAATGCAGAATGTTACTTTTCTTGACTGAGATTATCCTGTTTCATTGTGATATCTTTTTTTAATAGCTGTGATACTAGAAGGCATTAACAGATGTTACAAACTGATTTTTTAATGTTTTATTTCCAGGTGTTTAAACTCTGATTGCATTACTCTGACAACAGAATATGGAAAAATAAACATACCCCCCTGCTCCCTATTCAACAGGTATCTGGTTAGCACTTGCCTCTGATTCTCAAAGCTTTGGAAGTGTTCAGGTGATAAAAAGAAATGCTCTAAGTGGAGTTTAGACCCTTGCATAGTGCTCAGCCCTGCAAGAAATATGGGTATGATAAAGTGATTTTAGGCAGATCAGGGTCCAGTGGAGCTATTCAGATGAACCTTCACTGTAATAATGGTGTTAAGGAGCATTTGACAAAAAAAATGTACGTGATTTTCATCATCATTAAGAAATCCAAATAATTTCAGCAGAACTTGGCAGGAACTCCAAACAGTATCAAAGTAGGAATTTACTTGGAGAGTTCACGTAAAATCAAGCTGATTTCATCTATACTTTTCAAAAAACATGCAGGAAACTCTGCACATCAGTGTCTGTGTCATGTTAGGACTTAAGTCCACACATCAAACAGCTCCTAGGTATTAAAATGAAAAACCAAAAGTGGGGGGTTTTGTTGTTGTTTCTTTGTTTAAAAGTCACTGCCAGATGCTTCTGTAATCCCAGCCTCTCATCCCATTAAGTACTGTCAATGTTCCAAAGGTACATCCTGTATATTTTGCTGGAACACTGCATAATATGTCTGACACCACAAAAAGATTTCTCCCCTATCTACTATAGTGTCATATTGTTGCATCTTTGTTTTCTTTACATCTTTAATGCACTCAGAATATTTTTTCTAATTTGAAAACAAATGTTCCAAACTGGCAAATCTGTAATGTAATTTCAAAACCAGTGATGTAGTCCTTTACCTAGTTAATGTTATTTTTCAAGGATGCAAGGCAAAGCTGGTGGGAAACTGCAACTCCTGTGAATTATAATATTCTCTGCTGAACATACTGCAATGCTTGCAAAGAAACTGACTTTATATAATTCTTTTTCATTATGAGAAATAAGATTTCTTAGCATAGTACCTCTCATGAAATGGAAAAGAACATATGGTCAGAAAAGGTCTATGTAAAGGTTAGTTAATCCGGTTGCTCATCTCAGACATGACCATGGGGGTATAGGATTCATGTTCTTCAATAAGTTGTCTCTCTGCTGCTGGAGCATGTTGCCAGCAGCTGAAACAGGTTCTCTATGAGCACAGAAGCTTCCCTGAGTAACAGCTCTGGGGGCATCCATGTGGAATAGTTGTGGTTACAGGTGGGGAGTGATAGAGAACAAAGAGGCCAGTGATAGCAGGACCAGAGACTTTTCATAGGAGGCATTTTTTAGTTCTTTTTTAAGAGGCTTAGTGGGTTCAGGTGCAGCATTTTTCTTCTTGTAAGCAAGATGCTCATTCTGGCTTTCTTTCCTTCTCCCTGAATAGCTGTTAGAACAGAGCTAGGCCACAGATCAAAAAGAAAAATATTTGAAGGGGTGGGAGGTGTGTGTGTTTAATTTTCTCTTACATCACTAGTTTTCTGTTACATCATTATTGTAATTTGTCTTCCATCTGGTCCCTAGTTCTGGAAAAATCTACTTCCTTAACAGGATGAGGAAGGGAATGACCATGTGTTGAAGCATTCAGACTTCTCCCTTTCACTTATGCAAAGGTTCAAGTAGCTACTAAGACATAATTTTTAAATGTTTGATAATCTCCAGTGTCCCCAGTAACAAAACACACACTGTGTGTGCGTGAAAGCATGCTTTAAAATTTAGCAAATATATATTACATGCATGTGAGATTTACTTTCCAAAATTTATCCTTCATTTTTACTCTAAATACTTTTGCTCAGTAGGAGGAGACTGGTCAAAGGAAAATGAGCATCTGTTATCCAGACATCAAGCTCACATGCAGCCAAAAATGCTCCTCTGGCTTTCAGTGTTGAGGGAAAATATAACTACAGGATCTGTTAGTAGTTGGAGGGGTTATAAAAGAGAAGATGCGTAGCAAAAATAAGTGAGCCATGAAAACCACATAACCTTTTAATACTGAAAATATGTATCTTTAAGAAATCTAATAATTTAGGGTTGGACATTCTTCAGGTGACTGTGTGAATGCCTATTTACCCAACAAGCAGTCTCTGAACAGGAAATACCTCTAGTCACTTTATTAAACATTCATCCTTGGTGCACAATGAGATGTGAAAGTTGCAGTAAACAAAAATGTCATTCCTTAGTGAGTCTGTGGTTCTCCTTAGCAGGAGTTGCCTTACATTAAAAGGGTTTATTCTGAAAATCATTGGTACTGAGTCCTACTGTCTTTTGTCCCAACAGTGCTGCTGAAAACAATGGAAGTGTACCATATGAAATCAACACCATGCAAATAATTAATGTACTGTGTGTTGTACTATTTGCTCAAAAGGACTTAAAATGTTTGTAGTCAGAACATTAATTTCCACTGTACTTATTCCACTAATACTTTCTACTAATTGCACTGGATGTCAGATCACACTTTAGGTCAGCTGTCTGTTAATCATACAGCAAACGAGCTGAAAGCAAGCAAACATCTGAGAAAAAATAAACAAGACATTTCAATGATTTTTTCATGAGTTTTAGAAGTTCAGCATTTGCTCAGGTCATCAGCCAGAAAACTGACAATCAGAGGCCTTGCATCCCTTTTAAACAAACATTTAATATTTTATTTTAAAAATACAACCATGACACAGTTTAGGAACACACAAAGCCAATACAATTTAAATTAAGGTTTTCTTAGATAAAATACTTTTACAGAAAATTTCTTTAAAAAAATACTATATGTCACTGAGGGAAATGCCAAACTAAAAAAAAAAAAAAAAAAAAAAAAAAAAATCCTCTCTGCAATATTTTTGCCCCAGTATTCTTACAGCTACAGGTAATACTTCAGTGGCTAGCTGGTAAAAATGTCCTTGCAAAGAATCATTACCAAATTGCCTTGAATTAGAATCTCAAGATCATTTTTCTTACATGAGTATTTAAAAAGTTACCTGGGACTCGGAGAATGTTTCAGCCCTTTTTTGTTCAAAAGAACGTATTTTAGCTTCACTCATCTTATCTGAGTCTGCCAAAACATAATGTCTAGGAGAATATGACTCTGACAAACAGCTAAGTAACCTCAGGATTTCTGTTGTGTGTCCTCCTGTAAAACAAAACAAACTGCAATCAGTATGTGAAAAATTTTGTAACTTTCCATTTCTCCAGCTGAATCAGTCACTTTTCATTTTAAAGCATATTTGTATTACTACTACCAGTGAGAAAGTATCTTCTGAGAGTAAAGGATTCAATTAGAGGATGGCTGAGACTGTTTAATCACACGGCAGGAACTCAGCTCCCAGGAAAGGCCTATTGATGGACGTTTTCCAATGAAATGGGATTGAGCCAGGGTCACACAGGAGTTTGACGTTTGTGTTTAATGTCCTGTACACGGTGCAGAACAACCGGGCACAGAGTGACACTGTGCTCTGCACTCAGAGGCCACCCCATGGGCGATGGCCAAAATGCAGCTGGGCAGGACCTGCCTCAGAGCTGCACCTTGGAACAGAGCTGGCCCTGCCCTGTGCCCAGTGCTGTGACCTGCCAGGGCAGGGGTGTGCTACCCCAGCTCGTCACAGCGAAACCAGCCAGCCAGCAGTGTCCCCCTGCAGCCACCGCGGTGTCACCCTGCAGCCACAGCAGTGTCCCCCTGCAGCCACCGCGGTGTCACCCTGCAGCCACAGCAGTGTCCCCCTGCAGCCACCGCGGTGTCACCCTGCAGCCACAGCAGTGTCACCCTGCAGCCACCGCGGTGTCCCCCTGCAGCCACCGCGGTGTCCCCCTGCAGCCACAGCGGTGTCCCCCTGCAGCCACAGCAGTGTCCCCCTGCAGCCACAGCAGTGTCACCCTGCAGCCACAGCGGTGTCCCCCTGCAGCCACAGCGGTGTCCCCCTGCAGCCACAGCAGTGTCACCCTGCAGCCACAGCAGTGTCCCCCTGCAGCCACAGCGGTGTCCCCCTGCAGCCACAGCAGTGTCACCCTGCAGCCACAGCAGTGTCACCCTGCAGCCACAGCAGTGTCCCCCTGCAGCCACAGCGGTGTCCCCCTGCAGCCACAGCAGTGTCACCCTTCAGCCACCGCGGTGTCACCCTTCAGCCACCGCGGTGTCACCCTTCAGCCACAGCAGTGTCCCCCTGCAGCCACAGCAGTGTCACCCTGCAGCCACAGCAGTGTCACCCTTCAGCCACCGCGGTGTAGCTGCTGGGTGCTGGCAGAACAAGCAGCACCCAGCAGTCTTCACAGTCCTCTGTGACACGGTCACTGTGTCCCGGGGCGAAACTGGCACTAAACCAGAGAGAAAGGGAGTGTGTACATACTGGGCTTTCTGGCAGCTGGGTTAATTTTGGGTTTTTTGTCATTTGAGTTTCCTGAAAAGCAGTTAGAAGGATACTGTTAGAGTGGAAGGAGGGGAGAAGGAAGATTGTGTAGGTCAAGTGGAGCAATCTCACCTTTTATCTGTTGGACTGCATGAGACCAACATGAAACCACACCCACAAATACATAACCAAAACCAGTAAACTACATGTGTTCCTGCTACCTCCTGCTGTTCAGTGTCTCTAGGCTCCCAAGAGACCTTTGTTGCACTGGTTAAACACTCATAGCTGGTGAACAACTGACAAGAAGGAGAGCTGCAGCATTGCACTACACTTTGCCACCTTTCTGTACTATTTCATGTGGTATTTTTCAAATATGTTTGAAGATATTTTCTCCCGAGTGGTGTTTGTTAAGGTTTCATATATTTTAATGCAATCAGCTGAGCGCTCACAGAAGAGCAGATTTCTACTTAAAAGTCTCAAAGAATAGGCTTGAACATGACACAAATCCTAACTGACATGTATTATTTCACCTGGTAAGCTTATGTACAGTGGAAGTATTCTTTTAATACAGACTAATTAGATTCCAGAGGACTAAAAGAAAATACACACATTTCCAGCCCTAGTGGATTTAAAGATGACCTGAAGAATTATAAACCTGCCAATAAAACTCAGATGCAGAAAGATCTCAGTATTATTACTCAATTAGTTGGTGTGCAAAAACCAAAGGGATATTGAGGTGCTGAAATCACAGCTGGCCTGTATTTGTCAACTGCAAATTTTCAAATAAATTTTTTTGAGGTAAATGAATTGCCCTCCAACTCATAACACGGCAAAAAGGAGTAGCAGATGTGTACATCCCCTTTAGTGAGGGAGGCATTCTTGTCTCTGACCCACGTGTGACTGCTGTAAGTAGATCACGACGTGGGCTGGGTAGGTTGCAAAGTGCCACGTACGCAAGGGGCGTGCCCGGCTCCGGAACGCCGTGCCCGGATCGCCATCGGCGGTGCTCGGCCAGAAGTGCGAGCAGCGGCACAGTCCTGCACCAGTGCTGCCGGTGCTTCCGTGCGTGGCTCTGGTAAAACGCGCAACACTGACTCAACTCCAGGCCCAAAACGCCCAAGCGCAGGCGGCGGCCCCGGGGACACCCGGCCCGGCCCGGCCCGGGGACACCTCAGCAGCTGCTGGGGGGTGGGGGGCGGCACCGGCTCCTGACACACGCAGCCGCGACTACAACTCCCGGCATGCACCAGGGTAGACGGGCAGCCTTGCTGGCCTGTCGCGCTGCATGCCGGGTCTCGTAGTTCCAGGAATCCAGGAGCGGCGACTCCACGGCACCACCCGCTCCCAGCGGCGGCAACCCCCACTCACCAGAGCCGGCCACCACCAGGAGGCTGAACGGAGGCGTCCGCCGGCCGCGGCGCCTCCTAAGCAGGAGCACCAGCGGGACAAGCAGTAAGGAGAGGAGGAGGAGCAGGAGCACGACGACGGGCAGCTCCTCCATGCGCGCCGGGGCCACCTTTCGCGGAAGCGGCAGTGGCGCCACCCCCATACGGCGGCCGGCGCGGTTCAAACCTCCGCGCGCTCTGGGCGCGGTGGTGGCTCCGGGGGTGACCGGGGCTCGGCGGGCCCGGGGCGCGGTGATGCGGCGTGAGGGGCTCCCTGCTGCTCCCCCGCCGGCGTCCCGGAGCTGCGGAATACCGCCGTGAGCACCGCGGGAATGACAGCCGGCGCGCTCAGGGCCCGCTGGGCACGGGCAGCCGGAGCCAGAGGGGCCGGCTGGGCACGGGCAGCAGGAGCCGGGGGATCCGTGGCTCGCAGGGATTCCTGCGGGAGCATGAATATGCATATGAATATGGATATGCATATGAATATGGATATGCACTGATACCGATCCAGGTATGTGTGCTTACATGCAGCTGTAATGTTACACAGCCTACAGTAATGCATAAAATAAAGAATATTAACGTTTCACTGCCTGTCGTGGTTCTAGTTTTCATTCATGGTAATACTTAAGCTTTTGGTTTCAGCAAGAAGCGTGGAGCAGCGGATCAGCGCTCTTTCTGCCTCAGTCAGCATCCAGCTCTGTTGGGAGAGAGCGGTGATTCAGCCACTGCGCTGATCTCAGGTGCGACGTGTGTTTGCTAGAAAGAGTAAGCTCCTGCATTTTATGATTAGGAAAGAGTTTGTTCATAATTGTCTTTAAATTACCTGCCAGGGAGCAAGGCCCTCCTCTTGGGCAGTGAATTGGGAGCAGTGAACTCTGGAGCTTTATGGAGAGGTTTGATGCTGCTGCTTTGTGGGGTGAGTTGTCAGACACATGAAACGTGACAGCTGTGCACTTGTACCTCAAGTGTACAACCACAATAAATCAAACACAGTGCAATTCTGCATCTGCCTGCCATGGTTTCTCTGGCTGGTTTTTTTTTCCCTCTTACTCCTCCTGAACAAATTGGACTTTTTGTATCCCTACCAGCCTTGGAAGCTTAATATTTCTCTCTCATTTTTAACAAAGGTGTGCCAGTTGTGGATTCCAATAGTTATTGTATGTCTTACAAGTAAAAGATACAAGCTCCAACAATCCTTTGGCATCTTAGGGTCTGAAGTGAGTCTTTGTGATTCATGCTTCACAGCTCTACAGATTATGTTTTTTTCTTTATGTTACGGTAACATATAATTTTGCAGATGCTTTAAGCAGAGAGTATTAAAAACAGTATTACCAGGGTAAGCTTCTCTTCCACCCAAATGAGTAACCTCACAAAGTTATCTCACTGCCTAGTCATTACTGACATTTGGAAGCAACAAGGTTTTAATTAAAAGTTCTGTGGATGATGCATAAATTTCCAAAATTCATTTTGATTTCCATTTAATTAGCTATGTAAAATTAATAAGTAGGGACAATAGAGGTGCAAGTCAATGACAGAATAAAGTACCATAATACCTTTTCAGACATAAAATACTAGGTTAAAACAAGACAGTAAGTTCTATGGACAATTCAAATACTAATTCTGTCTACTGTCATCTTTTCTCCACTTGTAGTCTCTTCAATGAAAATAAATGATGTAGAATTTATCCCAGTTGCCACAGCAGGTGTAGCTGGCAATTGTTTTATTTAAGGTGGGTTTTTTTCAAGACTTCTCAAGATCCTTGCTCTTCTTTTTTCCTACTATAAATGTTAAAGAACTGCTTTTTATTAGGCATTTGATTACAAGAAACAGTCCTGGAAACTCAGCAGTAGAGATTGATATAAAAAGTTTCAACTTCTTTTCTCCTTTTCATGGTATTTATTCTATATATACATACTTTCCCTGCTAATACAGAATTCTTGTGTAAATGCATTTGGTGAGATTAATGAGAAACTGACCTAAAACCAGGGAATTGGAAGGCATTTAAAAATAAGAAGAAAAAATTAGAGTGATGCAGACCTGTTATTTGGAGTAGGCAGTTTATTGGATGCAAAGGTTTTGACTTCCAAGGAGTCTAAAAATCTAAGCAGTGAGTTTGCCTCATAAACTCCTACAGCTAGTGCTTGAAGTCTGGTAACTCATTGTTCAGTTTGGAAGAGCAGGAGATGTAGTTTTCAAGTAGTAGCCACAGAAGATTGCAAGGTTTGAGGGAGGATTCAGAATTTGGTAAGATTGGTTAAAATAACTAAAGACTAAGGCAACAGTCTGATACCTAGTTGCAGTAAAGTTTTGTGGAATTTTTTTTCCTTTGTGAAAACTGAGCAGAGCTCTTTTGCAGTGTAACACAACTAATCCTGTCTTTTCTTAGTAGGACTTAAATGTATTTGTGTTTTTCCATCGTGGCAACTCCCTGCTCTCTTGATACCATGTTTGGACCTGGGAGCCTTCAGTGCAACAGCTATTTGCAGTCCTGAAGAAAGCAGGTTGCTGTCTACTCCTCCAGGCGTGTCCAGAGCGCTTGGCCATGATTCCAGTCTGGGAAATGCCTTGAGAGATCTTCATCTCAGCTGTGTTAGCTAAGCAAGGTGAAGCAGGTGAAGTACAGGGTTTCCATGAGGAAGGCAGTGATTAGTTCTGGATTCTGCTCTCCAGTCTGCAAAATCCCTGATACTGCAAGTGAGTGCGTGACCTGCCTGTCTGGGTGGAAGTGGTGCACTTGGTCTGAAAAGTCATTCGACAGAAAGTGATGCAGCTGCAGAGGCTGCCTCTGACACCTCTGCTACTGATGCAGGAAGTTAGCTTTGAACATTTCTGAAGGAGAAATGAACCATCACTTGTTCTAAATAATTGGTCACTCTTGTCCAACTCTGTAACTCTTGAATAGGAAAAAATAGGTACAATATTTTTATCATGTACCGCTTGTGAGACGATGTTCCAAAGAAAGATGTGCTGCTCTCCTTTCAAACATGAATATTCTCTGTGGAAGCCTCCTGCTACCTGGGGTGCAGGTCTGCTTTGAAAGTTACACTGCTGGGCACTAAAGGGAACTGAGCAAAGTTCGCTCTTTGTGTTTCAGGTTCTTTTGTCTCCAACAGGAAAGGCTGTAACTGGAATATAAATAAAACCATTTTTTCCCCTGAAATGAAATGTAGACAGCTTTGGCTATCTGGCAGTAATTCACTTTCTGAGTTTCCACCTGTAAGTGATCTAACTCTTAACTGTTAAACAAGAACCTTTCTATTCAACAGAAATACACCTTATATTCATGATTTCTTAACTGGCACTTAGAATACTTGTGACATTTGGGTTTTTTTTTTCCTTCTAATTACAGGTTCTAAAATTACACCTATGAACAAGAGTGAGTGTACTGTTGTTTTCTAAAATGAGGTAATTTTTTCTCGTTTTGGCTTTGAGTACAGCTCCACAAACAGTTGCATCAGCACTACTGATGAGTAAACTAGCAAAATGGTAGAAACAATTGCATGAGAAAGGACAGGAATTACTTGGGCTTTGCTACTGGAAAAGATTGTAATGTAGAACCATTTATCATGTTAAACTGCAGTAATTTATTTAAATGTATCTAAAAATTATTCATAGTTTCTGCATGATATTTTCATAGAAGTGATGTGTAAGAACAGATACCTTACATAAGTAAATTGATTTTTTTTTTTTTTTTGCTGGAAGCAATCATTTATTTGTATGTGCTTATGGTGTTTTTAGAAACACTTTGAGAAGTGGTATGCTTTTTGATTAGACAAAATCTGAAGATTTCTAAGTGTGTTCTTCTTTAGTATTAGAAATGCAAACTGCATCTGGAAGACTCTAGAAGAGCAGTAACATCCTAAATGTTGTAATAAGTTCTGTGGTCATGAAAGAAAGGTATTTTTAAATTAATCAGTGGAGTAGACCATTTGGAATCAACTGGAGACAAGCTGCTGGCTGATCTCACTTGAAGGAAAAATTAGGATGTTATCAGAGCCAGTCTGTGGCAAGATTTGTCCCTTTAGACAGCTGCTAATTTCAATTGCTTTGGGTGAAGTGCAGTTACACTTTCTTATGAGTCATTAGAATTAAAGGAATGTAATCTTAGAAGTCCTGATTTGTATTTGCAATCAATAACAGCTGTAATATTTATGTTAACATTACAGTTAATGCTGTGCTTCCTGGTATAAGAGCACTTCTCATATGTATTTGAGTCTCTTTTGTTTAGAAACAAAAAATCAGCACTTGCAAACACTTAAACAATGCTTGTGCTAGATTCCAAAAAAGTGGAACCAAATTCCCAAAATAATAAGACTTATTCCATATTAAAAACTTTTTAAAATTTTTATTTTTTCCCATTCCCATTTGCTTTTCTTTACACTTTAATTTTCAGTCATAGACAGCAAAGTGGTTGTGAGTTTACAGCAGCTCAATAAATGAGGTATCCTTCACTCCTACATTTCCCTCTTGTTGGCAATGTCAAGTTTTCTGAAAATAGTTGTTGGAAGTAGGAGAGTAGGTTGTTTTTAGAAATTTATTTTGGTCTAAATTCCATGTATTAATTTAGTATCAAAGTAGCAATTTGTAAGGAGAATATTTTTCTCTTACAGGCATGAGCCACACTGCCAGCCAATGTTTCTTTAACCTGCTACATCTGAGAGTGTGTCTGAGGGCTGGTGCGTGTGGCTTTGATGACACAAGGTGTTGTAACCATTTGGGTGCATTCTGGGTGTGCTTTTATGAAGCAGAAACTTTTGTAGTAGACAGCACTGAAATTGCACCATGCAACTTGTAATTACTGGGTAGAGTGTTCAGGAAGCAATCCCTGTAACATAATGTAAAATAATGCTCTTCTATCTGTTCAAAAGTCCAGGAGAGTGCTGTTTCACTCCTTAAAAATACTGAGTGGCCTGGAGGTCACTTGGGTGCCTCAGGCCACTTGGCGCATAAAAATAAAGCCTTTTTTAAAAACACACCTAAAAATAGATTTGAAGTCTATTTTTAATCTGGAAATCTGCTTTCTGATCTGTAATGTTAAATGAAACTTGCAGGACACTTGGGGTTAGGATGTAGGATTCTCTACCTATTCACTGCTGCTTTTTGACTGGGGTTTTCCTGAGCTTTCCATGAAAGCATCTGTAAGGAGGATGAAGAGAAATGCACATTGGTTTAGCCTTTCCTGGGTTCCTGCTGTCAGAAAATGTGACCACTGCTTGTGCAGGGAGATAGATGAGACCAAGCTACCAGCTTGTGTTGGGTGCACAGCTTTTCCTTTCTCTGAAACCCGGGCAGCTGTGGGGCTGCTGCTGCTGCCACAGCTCTGGGTTTGAGTGCCCAGCCCTCAGCACTCTTAGGCTTGAGGAAAGGGCATCTCATTCTTCTGTGTTCTCTCCCTTGCCTCCTTATGAGCATGCAAAATGCAGCAGAACTGACACCCTTCTCCGCAAGGAAATGCTACTCAGTTGAAAGTGAGGACAATTTTCTGAGCTGTTTAGGGTTCTAAAGGTCTAGCATTGGATTTAAGCCATGCTGGACTTGAAATAACTGGTCATATTAAAAGGGAAGGGAAGATGTCTTCTGGTTTTGCTCTACACTGTCTTTCATGTTCTTTTCCTTCCATTTATCTTCCATCTTTTATTCATGCAGTTGTGTTTAAAAATATATAATTTGTTGACTATTGTTTTGGGGATGTTGCCAGGTATGGCTGTGGATTTAGGGATTTGATCTATTTAAGTACTATTTAAGTCAATTGAATGTAATGACTCCACTAGCTCTTAATGGAGATAAATTGAATTCTTTGCAGAGTTTGCAAGGGCTGCCAAAGGTATCTCAGTGTTTTAATTTCTGTATATTTGTGTATAATACTTGGGAGACAAAATATTACGATTTCAAAATACAAAATTCTTATTTTCTTCTATCTGTTTAGTTAAAATATGTAAGGTATCAACCATAGCAAACCCTGTTAAGAAAAAGTTGACACAGTCTAAAGTCCAGCTATTGCCAACATAGTTTGCCCTCTGCACTGTACTTTAATGGTCTTTAATTATGTGATAAGATTTAAAACCAGATACGCCTCACATTTTTTTCATCAACCACAGGTGATGTGTAATACTATTCTCTCTCTGTGTTTGACAGTAGAAGAAAAGAATGTCCTTGCCTTTATTACAGTTTTAATGAATGCTAGGAAATTATAAACCATTTGCATTAGTTACTGTGAATTTAATGTGTCGTTAAGGTGTCAAGAGAGTTTAGTTGGTCGACTCCAGTGCCTGTGAATTAAACAGTGATAATGAGACAATTGCTTAGAGTTAAGTTATGGTATTAATTATTTAGCTGACTTGTGATTAATATATTACTGAAAAGAAAAAACTTTATACATTTGGAAACAAGTTTTATGTCAGCTTCCAATGTCAGCTTCCAATTTACTAACAGTGACTAAAACAAATAAATAATATAAATAATTTCCAAAAAGAAACCTTACATGTGATTTCATACTCTTTTTAGAACATTGAAGAAAAAATCATTGTCTTCTTGATTGTACATTTATTTTGGAGGACTGGTACAATTATAAATACAAGCAATTGTTAAGTAGCTAATACTCAAGCCAAGAGGTTGTATAAGTCTTGATGATGATGATGATTATTATTATCATTACTATTATTTAATTGATGAATTGTTTGTAACTGTAATCACCTTTAAAGAGTACTGTACACAGAAAAGAAAAACCAGGTTGGCTCCAAGTGAAACTGAGGATTGCATATGTGTGGACACAGTGTGGCCAGAACTCTCCTGACCTGGCACTGCAGAAGGTGGCGTTGGACTGCAGTGTTTTGGTCTGTGTATGTGCAGCTACAGTTGTCCAACATACCTTTAATTGTAAAGTTTCCACTTTTGGTGGTGAGATTCCTGTTTCTGAAATTTACTGGAGCATAATTTCCAAACAGAAGAAGAGGACATCTCCACAGGCACTCCAGATGTGTAATGTCCCTTATTCAGCAAATCAGATGAACAGGTGCTGAAATGTTGGTTCTTTGAGCAGTTCCAGTGGAGTTATCACAGAAAAAATGTGTATATTTGCAACTAAATAAAAGGAAATAGACAACACCGAAAAAAACCACAACCAAGATGTTCTAATTTGTGCATATCACAATGCAATTTTTCTGCAATTTATTCAGTTAGACAATATATTTGGTGCAATTCACAAAATGACTGTTCAAATCCATTTATCATGTTTGCATGATAATTTTCATGGTGAAACTCTTCCACCTTAGCTTTTTTTAATCTATCTATCTATCTATCTATCTATCTATCTATCTATCTATCTATCTATCTATCTATCTATCTACCTATCTACCTATCTACCTATCTACCTATCTATCTACCTATCTATCTACCTATCTACCTATCTCTATATATCTGACATACAGAATTAGGATTAATTTTGTATTTTCTTTATTTTTAGGTGTTCTTGGGTTTTGTAGTCAATATTTTTCTGGTATTTGTCTAATCAGTAAGGTATGGTGTTGAATAGTATCATTGGAAGTAGAAGCCTAAAAAAAATTCTTCACTTGATTTGAAAGGCAAGCTTTCTTACTGTACTTTAGCACTGCTGTATTTAATGTAGTTTCTTGTCTTTTTGTATGTTTCTACCAGGACTGTTGCTTTAAATCTTAGATTTGAAATAACACTATAGAAGATTTTATCCTTCCTATGATTAGAACTGTACAAAGGAACATGTCTGTATGAATTAATACACAGAACAAGGCCTTGGGATGGGAATCACTACAGCCTCTGATATCAGTGGAGACTAACAGTTAAACCCTAGGTAGGAATCTGTAATAGTGACAATGCAAAATTAGAAAATAATCATAATATTAACAAGTAGCTGTGCTAAAAGTGGGGTCTTTGCTAGAATTCATTATTAGTAATAAAGGGAAAAATGAATAATACAGTCTGGACCTCTCAAACTGACAAAGTTAAGACATAAATTATATTTACTTTTGAAACAATATATGACACCACTTTAATATCTATCCCCAAATATGAAATTTAAAAGTTTTAATATTTAAGAAATATAAATTTTGAAGTCAAATTCCTACTATTGACTACTGCTTTTGAGAACTATGTGGAAAACAATTTCTTGCTTTCTTATTCAGTTTTTAAAATTTGATTTCAACAGGATTTAGACATATATAAAGTGAATAAGGAGCAGATTTTATTGTTTCCTTGTGTCATCAAGCAATTTTCCTTCCTTGTTTCCTCAAGGCTTTCACAGATCAAGACAAGATAAAAAAATCACTAAACATGATATAAAGTTTTTGGAAAAATCTGAAAAAAATTGGTAGAGTATTCAGAGGGAATTATATTGTCCGAAGAAGCTACTTGACCTGTTGAGGCTAACACATCTGCCATTAAAATATCCTTACCAACCATTCTTTTCCTGCTGTGGTGTGTGCTGAAGGAGGCACAGTGACACGCTGTGCAGCTGCTGTGGTTGTGCCAAAGTTCAGGCTGAGCTAAACGAGGCTTAGAAGCTATCTTTAGCATACAGATGAGCGATGCCATCCAAAGCACGTGCTCTGTCTTTTTACCTGAAATTCTGATGCTATCACATAAAACAAAATACCTTGTATCAACAAGCACTTGTTCTGCACTTGAATTATGCTGATTTTGATTACCAGACAGAATGTTAAAACCCAGATTGCTTTCTGACCCTCTGTATGTTGAATTATTGGGAAACATTTTGTTTGGTTTTAGCACTGCTTGGCACTAATTTTATTCTTTCCAATTGTATGCCATTACAAAGTACATATTTTTAAATTTTCTGCTGTTCTGACATAATCAAATTCTAGTCACTACCCTGTTCTCTTGTTGCTAAGAGCCTCAGCTCACAAAGCAAAAGGAAATATGTGCTTGTGAAGAAAAGAATTGGGTGTTATTTCAGAATTCCTCCTGCTGTTTGTGGTGTGCTTCATGTCGGAGATTAGGGAACCAAGAAGTTTTCTAAAATCTCAGAGCTCTCTGGCTTAATCCTTTGGGAATGAAACACTTTCTCTAGACCTTTTTGTTTTGCAGATCCCAAAGATGCACCCAGTAGCTTTGTTTACTAAAGAGCTGTAACAAAGCTGCAGTACTGCCTCCATTATACTCCTTTGTGCAGGCACTTCAGAGGGAGGAAAATGCATGGAGGAATGTGAGGTGGACACTGAAGGAAGCCAGGGGAGGATAACTGTGGGGAGGAAGAAAATAAAGTGACAGAAAAGGAAAAGGTGATAGTAAAATAGAATATAAAGTAGAAGAGGGGAAAAAAACCGGGGAGACAGTGACCTGGAAAAGAAAGAGAGATGGTGTTCCTGCAAATTCTTTGAATAATACTCAGCACATCTGTCTTAATGTGGTTTGACATCTTGCCATAATGCTGACGTGGTGCATCAGTGTAGGGGCTTCTAGTGCAGCATGGCAAGCTCACAATGTGCTGTTTTACAGGTCCTCAGTAGCTTCTGGACAGTTATAATCAGGACAATAATACCAATGCAGAGGGTAATGCTGCAGGTGAGGTGTAAATAGATGAAAGAGACAGTGTGTGGTGAGAGACACAAATGGAGAAGACAGAAAAACGGGAAGAAAACTGAAGAAGGGACAGGAAGAAGTTCGTGAACAGACAGCTTTCCAGAAACAAGCCTTTGTTCTCTTATGGACAGTAAGTACTACTGGCAGAAATGCTCTCAAGTGGGAGGTGACAGGAGCTGGGAAAGTTCAAGTCACTGACCTCAGATGAAAAATGGAGCGTGTGTTTAGAAAGAGTAAACTAAAGCAGGGAAAGTGAAGGTACGTTACTACCTAAAAATGTGGCAGGATATGTTACAGTGACCCGTGCTGGAAAGGTGTGACCCTCGTTCTGCAGCACTCCTCTGAGTAGGTGTAGCACAGTGTGCATCAACTCACAAAATGTGTCTGCTGTTTGGAAAGCCAAGATAACACTTTCCCTTCAGGGAAGCATACAGCTCCGCCACTGTTAACTGGCTACCTGCAGGGTGTTAAAAATAGCCCAAAGCATACAGATTTGTTCTTTGGTCTATGCAATTTTTTTTTTATTTTTGGAGAGAGAGGTTTTTTTACAAATGGAGTAATTTCTTTTTGTTTCCATTTACCATTTTCCTGCTGTTTTCCAGTTGTTTTTTTTTTTTTAACCAAAACCAAATTCAGATCCTTTCTTTTCAGTCTCCTCTATTCAGACTTGGGATTTCTGAATTAAATGCTGCAATATTATCTGCCTGCAGTTCCTCTGATTGGACTCCATGGGTGGCCCAAGTAATTTTCAGACAATGGAGCTGGTTCTTTTCTCACTCACACCACTGTAACTCATTGGCTTCAGTGAAGTTACTCTTGATTCATGGTGTTGTGAAAGAAGAATTGTGCTTGCTCTTTCATATGTTCTTTAATCTCCATGATATTTTTGTTTACATGTATAATTGATTTCCTGGGAATATATCCTGCTGCTGACAGGTAGACCTAGGAACTTCCTAAGACAGAAATATATGTAAGTATTTTTTAGGTCACTGAATTCAATCCACTGCTTCTACAACACCATGTTATATAATTTCTTTCATAAACTGCTCAGGCTTTAAACAGTCATTAAGATCTATTCTTACTACAGTGGGTAAATTCAGACAGAAATGTTAGTTACATCCTGTATAAATTTAAAACCATAACTGAAATAATCTTCAAATGCTCTAAAAGTATTTTTCTTTCTCACCTATGTCTCACTTTTCAATACAGCAACCATGATAAAGACTTCATTCTTGGCAGAAGGAGGCTCAGCTCTGGGAAAACACAATTCTGAAATTACAGGCATACTTTGGAAAGGTTACTGTGTACTTTTCTTTTATGGTCACATCCCTCTTGCAGATTTTAGTGGGAGCAGTCAGCTGACAACAATTTTTTACCGTACTTGAAGTGCCACTCTGAAAGTTAATTCCAGAAGGAGAAGGGTATGGAACAGGTGTGTACAACTCAGCTGAGGATAGATTACTGCAGACTTTGACTACTTATCTTGGGCTGCCTTCCAGTTACTACCCTGTTGTAACAAATCCCATCCATTTTATCCAAATTTGCTCTTCATTTATGGAATTAATGGGTTTAATTGACATGAAGTTGAAAATCATCGATATAATCAAGAAGTTGTAATTAAAGAATAGGTGAAAAGCACAGCCCTATTTTTCTCTTAAGTAGTACAAATAAGATGATTCAGCAGAAGCCAACAGAATTATGCTGCTACCTGCAAATGCTACAGTGATACCTCCCTGTCCTCCCTACCTTTGCTATGCATATGTGTTGATCTGGAATACACTGCTATTTTTTGCCTTGTGTTGCTAAATCCCTGTTCTGCAGCTCACCTGGGCAAGCCCATTGCCAGTACTCCCTTTCTGTTCTTAAGCTTCACTTCAGAAGCTGCCGCTGTTACCGAGGAAATTCTTGGCAATTGCTATTTAGCAGGGGAAACTGGTTTGCAGCAGCTGGAAGGTGGTGGCTGCACATCACAAGGGAGGGAGGAAGAGGTGTATTAGTCGTTAAAGTGAGATTGTGGCCACTGTACAGCAGCCAGTTGGCTGGGATACTGCTCTGGTGGCTCTTTATCCCACCCTTTGGCTACTCTATTTCTGATACGGAAAAAGGTGCTCCAGTTGCATCATGTGAATACAGAAAGCCTTATACTTGCTGGGAATGCTCAAAGTAATTGTGTGGTCTGTTCATGCAACACTTTGTAGGAGTAGTAGAGCACTCCCTTAGTTTTGTTGGCATTACACTGCCTATAGAATATGGGCCTATGGTGTTTGCTCTGAGGTCTCTGGGATTGCTGGACATGGGACATCCAAGGCTGAGACTGCTGCACGTATGCAATAACATGATGAGATTATTAGATACCAAGAATCCTAGACATACACATTCAAAATCCTAAACATACACAGTTCTCAGAATCTCCCTGGGAAACAATTCTGGTTGGAAAAAAGGACAGACAACCAATCTCAGGCAACCTGGATATGGTAGCCATGTCTAACCATGTCTGCAGGTCTCCCTTCTACTGCAATGCCTTTGTGCTTCCCCGTAGCTAGTTCTTTATTTGCAAACTTTCTTTGTCAAACGTGTGTGAGGTGCCCTGCTGTATGCTCATGCGGAGAGCAGTTGCCAGTCAGGAATCCTCAGTGCATCACCATTCTCACCTTTAAAGTCAGCAGCTCTCAACGCAGCACGTATTACGGTATTGCGGGGCTGTTGAAAGAGGCCATTGCCTCTGGTCACGATCTGCTGCGTGCTCAACAACGTGCTGATCTCAGGCCAAGAAGAGAGCAGCGAGGCAGGACAAACTCGTTTCTTTCACCCACACAGCACACCGGGCCAGAGGAATTCTTTGGTAGGCTGTGTGCTACACAGGTCTCAAACAGAGGCTTGGGAAGTCTGGTTTGTCTTCTAGATGCTTCTTAACCTGTAAGTGCATAATGGTGATGGGTCGTTTTGAGGCTTAGAGCTCTGATAAGGGGTCTTTGGCAGAGTTACACATTCAGTTTAAGACATTACCACTCTCAAGTGTCTATTTTACTCTGCTGTTAGGTATTACTACATTCTGATGGTGTAGACTTCAGGTTACAGGCTGGCATGCTAAAATAATACATACTTTAATTGTTTTACTCTCCTAGAATGGTCATGACCTGAGGTAGTTGAGAGAAATCAAATCTTAAAACACAGCAGCTAAATCTGCCAGTGCTTGTTGCTCAGAGCCTTTGGCCTTTGCTTCTTAACCATGAGAGGAAAGAGTCCTTGCCAGTACCTGCAGGCCTGAGGACAGCCATTCATGCCTTTACTTCCACTGCAGGTCCTCCGTCACCCCAGAAGTCCACTGCTTGTCCATATGGAGTACTGGTGTCACTGCTGTTACAACTTAAAAGAGGTATATGTAAAGAAACTTTGAAGTCACTGATACTGTATTAAGCAAAAAGTGAGGGCCGTTCTTTGGAAGGTGAGTTAATGAAGAAAAAATTATCTTGGAATTTTTGTAGTTTATGTGATCTTAAAAGTGGTTTATGATCCTGACATGGAGTTCTTAGGATTTTGTGGCTATTCTGATTCACTAAAAAATGCAGAAGTAGTAGAAAATAGGTTGAAATGTTAATTTATATAAAGAATGATATGACATCAGAGTAAAACATGAGGTTTTAATCTTAATTTCACTAAGAAATTAAGTGAAATTGTGGTATTGCTGTCTTTATTTGTCCATCTGTTTTTGAAATGGAAGGAGACTGGAAGGAAGAACGGGATCCCCTTCACTTGTCTGAGGATGCCTCATAAAATTTTGTTAACAAAAATCAATTCAAAAGTTGATCAATCATAAGACACAAGTCTACAAGAAAGCAAACTTTAGTAGTTCCGATGTTTACATAAACACCTGGTAGTTGGTTTATGCCCAGCCATGGATTACGCCAAGCTGGCTGGAAACAGTTAGAGATGCTGGCAGCGTGCCCTGCCTACCTCCCACAGGTTCCCACTTCTGCAGCAGGAATGGCTCAATGCCTCATTAATCAGCTCCTGGGTTTCTGCATTTTGCAGATTGGCGCATTAAGGCAAGCCAACATCAGTTTCTATTCAGGCTTAAGCCACAGCATTCCTGCTGTGGGAGATGTCTTGCAAGAGAGGTCAGTGTACAGAGTGGGGTAGATGACTTGTCAGCTGCAGCTTAAACTATAGGGTGAAATGTATATTAGTATCTTCATCATTATTTCGTTAGAGGAGAATTTTAAATTTATTAATCAGAAATCATTAATGGAAATGTTGAGGTGGTTTAGGATGTGGATGGTAGCAGAAGAATGCCAAGAGGAACGGTCGTGACCATTACATTTTCTAATTGGTGAAAGACTACATCTATCTATCATATTTAATTTTGTCAGCGTAAGTTTGCTTCTGTTTTTCAACACAACAGCTCAAAATATAAAATAAAACATTTTCATACATCACAGCATTGAATGTAGTAAATAGCAAGTATCGGCAATACCTGTTCTCTCTATGATGGGTGTGTTCCCCATGGCTCTGTGCTGTACAGTGCTCCCAAGGAGTGCATAAATGAATTCCTAGCACACGAATGGTCACGTCAGCATTTTTCCCCTGACACATTTCAGACAACCGGGCTGTGTAAGTGAAAGCCACAATGACTAAAATGCTGTTGGAAGGTGAGGTGCAGTGTCTGACTGGCCTTTATCCTGCCCCAGCACAAACACCAGAACATTCACCCAGCAGCGCTCAGGGCCCCGCGCTCAGGGCGGCGGCGGCAGCCGGCGGGGCTCTCCGCCCGCGCGGGCGGTGCCGGGCGCGCGCTGTCACCGGCAGCGCTCGGGGCGCGCAGAGGAGCGGCGGGACGGGGCCGGGACGGGGCCGGGCCGCTCCCGCGGCTCCCGGGCCCGCTCCGCGCGGCCCCTCACGGGGGCAGCGGCCTGAGGGGGCGGCGGCTGCAGCGCGGGGCGGGCGGGGGGAGGGCCCGGGGAAGCCGCGGCCCCTCGGAGGCGGTGAGCGGAGCCCGGCGGCAGGTGGCGGCTCGGCCCCTTTAAGGCTACGGCTGCCGCAACCCGATCCCCGCCGGAGCATCCTGCGCCCGGGAAGGGCTGTCCCGTCCCCGACGCCGCGGGGAAGGCATGGAAAAGGAGGAGGCGGCGCCGCAGCCCCCGTAACCCCGCTCCCAGGTGCGGCGGGCGGGGAAGGAAGGCGGCAGGGCGCTGAGAGGCCGGGGCTGGCGGGGCGGGGGCGGTGCGGCCCCTTTCCCCCGCCCCGCGGGGCTGCGCGGAGCGGCCCCTTCCCTCCCTCCCTCCCTCCCTCAGCGCGGGGCGGCCCCGAGGGCCGCGAGCCGCAGGCGGCGGCGCGGGGCGCGCTGACAGCGCAGGGCTGCGCGGGGCCCCCTCCTCCCGCCGCCGCGGCCGCAGCGAGCGCGGAGGGTGCGCGCTGCCCGCGCTGCTGTGCTCGTCGCCGCTCCTGCCCCCGCTCCGCGCTGTTGTGTTCTCCTGCCGCTCCGCGCCCCTGCCCGCTCCTGCCTGCCCGGGGCCGGGGCGAACGGCGGGCGCCGCGGGTGACCGGCACGGCGAGGTAATGCCCGGCTCGGGGCAGCGTCCCTCGGGGCCAGCCCGGGGGCCCTCCGCGCCCACCGAGCCTGGGCGGGTTCCCTCTCAGGGGCTTTGCGACTCCAGGCTGCTTGCGGGGTTTGAGGAATTTCGGTAAATGGTATGGCAGCGGCCAGCTCATCCTGAGTACACTGCCTTTATAAGAATGCTTTATCTGCCGGTTGCTTTGATGTTCTAAGAGCAGAAAGCTGAGTGGACTTTAGGGTGTGAATAGCCTTAAACAGAAAAGGGAACAGCTTAAGTGTGAGTAGCTTGAATTTTGTTGTGTTTCTCCTTAACGTTGCTTACTGAGCTAAATGAGATCTCAAACGAATAGGATCTACCATTCAGAACCGAGAGCACAGCAAAGCTCCAGCACTGCTTTTGTTACTGGGCTTATTATAAAATGTCGAAACAGTCAGTAGTCCAGTTGCTCTCTGCAGATTGGTCTGACAAGTTTTACAGCTGTTGGATTTGGCTTTCAGTTTTAAGTGGATCAGGAGAGCGCATTATTTCATGTGATGTCCTGGTATCAATAGCAGCTTTACTGTGTAATCTTGTTTGGAAATTGATCCAACTCATCTGGAAATCCAGCCTCGAAGAAAGTAAGAGCTGTGTTCTTAAACCTTCCACTGCACCTTCTTACCACGTCTTGTTGTTACACTGTTAAATTTATTATTTTTGTGATGTAGAAAGATTAAGAGGAGGAGAACTTAAATGCTAAATACTTTTGATAGTACAACAGTTGATAACTCTCCTGCTCCTTTATCCTCTTTCATTAAGTGCCAACTTGTTTCTATCAGGAGTTCATAGTGTTATACTGGGGGTGAATGGATATTGCTTTTTCTTCTAAATTTCAAGTAGAAACAGAATTGCAGGAAAACCACTGCATGCTAATAGCAAATGAAAACCAAGATATTTTTAGCTGTTACGGAGTATGATGAAAAAACCTGTGTTATTAACCTTTTCAAAGTCATTGGGTCAGTAGAGTAATTTGAAATCACACTAGGCATGTTCAGCAATACTTTGCTGAAAAATGTTAGTTTTAAGTGTTTGGTAATATTTATTTACCTAAAGACTCCATTGAAAAGCTACAAGAGTGAAGTTCTGATCTTATGCAGTTACTGTCTAACCAAATGTTTAAGACAGTAATTTTGGGTAAGAAGGCAAATATATTTGGATGGAGAAACAACCTGTGTATTGTGTTGTTTTTCCTGCATTACAAAGTAGTTACACTATACCTCCCATTAGCTCAAACCCCGTATCAGCTGACAGAACAGTAATCAATGACTATGCAGTTTGGGTGATAAAGTGTCTGCTCATACATAATCCACAAAGTTCTGTATATTGATCAGACTTTGCTGTACAGCTACAAGAAGATACTTGGAAAAAAAATCCCTATAGTGTAGTTGAAGCTGCCCGGCTTACTAACTTTGGACTTTGTCAAGGAAAATTGTAATCGGAAGCTAATTGTGCTTGTTCTAAATCATCAAGCACAATGCAACAAGCTGTTTTGGTTCATACAGCATGAATAATTTTTCTTGTAAATGAAAAGCTGGTAAAAACCAGTAAATTTTCATGTTAAACAGGATACAGTTGAAAACAACCTAGAGATATGAGAAAATAACAACCTATACATATGGGACAATGTTTATAGCTGAACACATGTGAAATGCTGTATTTACACCAGGTCCTTGAATTAAATTAAAATATGAGACTATTAATTGCTGAGGTAAAGCATAAAATTATTCTGGACTTGGTAGTTACTATACTTAAACAGCATCTTGATAAGCATATATGAAATTAGGCTTGCAAAACTTGAGCATCTGTGAGACCAACCAGAGAGAATAAGTGATTAGTTTTTTTGTCTGCCTCTCTTCTCTAAAACCATTGTACCATTCTCCTTCACGGGCGTCATGGTTCTGCATTTGTTGAAAGTCAGTTCATGCACTTTCCATGCAAGTACCTTTTTTAAAAATTAGTTCCCTCCACAGGCTGCTTAGGTGAAAGATTAGTTTTCTAATGTATTTATTTCAAGGGATGTTTGCACGGTTGTTTAATTCCATAATCTGTACTAAAATGAGCACCTGTCAAAAGCTGAAACATTACTTACCTAATATGATCTTCTGGTACTAAGGAAACAAAAGAAAACATGCTTTTCTCTTGTCCAAAAGATTATGTCAGTGTCTTTGAAACTCAGAGATACTAGTATAGTTGTTGCAGGTGAATAAAATGCAGCATCATGAGAATTGCTATATTTTAGTCAAAAGGATGAAATAGGTGTGGTTAATGCTCAGTGGTTTTGCTAATTTTCTGAAGAGATTTGTACTTGACCTGGATTTTGGCTTCCTTCATTAATTAAACCAAGTGGGTTTTTTTTTCCCTTTACATGGTCCAAGAGGAGACTTGGTTGCTACAAATGAGATAATGTAATAACAACATTTTGTCCTCGGGGTTAGAATCTGGAACTGGACACTATACAGTGCTTCTCAGTGGGTTTAAACTGGTAGATACTAAATAGTTTTATTCCTTCAAATTGTAAGGTCTTAGAAAGTTGAGTTTAACACCCATTATCTCTGGTACTTTACACTATGTAAGAAAAGGATATAAAGTTCGGTTTGTGTTTTATGTCTTCTTGGTCAATGGAGGCAAATGGAGAAGTACGTGGGGAATCGAGAATACTGAATATTCAGGACTGTAATTGAAATTGGAAGTTTTGATAGAGTAGCATTAAAAAGTATGCAGGACTTATATGCTGCTGCACTAGAACAGGTCATCAGAAGACAACTGGAATCAATTAGTTTGATGCAATGCACTGCAGTGTGTGTACATAAAAATTTTAGTTTGGATTAAAAATGCATTTATGAACTGAATCACCCCCTGTGATTTGTGTTGCTTAGCTGTCCCAGAGCATGCAAGCTGGCTTCCTTTTGGGTTCAACTGGGCAGGAAGATAGGCCCTACGAGCACATCAAATATGTTCCAAGAATTGTGGAGTCCCTAGGACAGAATTAAAGCTGGTCTGAAGTAAGCACTTGAACTCTACATGATAGAGGCAGATTTCACTCAGCAAATCTACTCTTGTTTGTCCTGCGTTCTGTTTTTATATGTGTAGCTCTGTGGGTAGTAGTCAGAGGAAGTTTTATTGCCTTCAGTTCTGGGAGAATAAATAGAAAAGAAAGAGGTAGAGGGGGAAAACTTTGAAACCACTGAACCTTCTGCTTCTAAATCTTTGAAGATGAAAGTATGTTTTTTCTGATCTAGATGTTTCAATACACTCACCATTTATACCCCACGGTGAGAATATTGTACTTAATTTTAAAAAAGTTACTATTTTTTATTATGGTGGACTTTTCCCTCTATTTTTATTTCCTGAGGTTCAAGTTTCTTGCCATCTACAATGCAGATACAATTTCAAAAATCTGAATCAAAATCATAAAGGCATGTTTACTCGTTCTGTAATGCAAGGGAAATAAAGGTGGACATAAATGTATTATGTCATTGTATTGCTTTTGCTGACCATTAGGATGCTGGAGTAACATCAAATTATGCTGTCCTAAAAGTCTTTGTTTTATTTTTAGATACTTTCTTGAGTAAAACTAAAACAAGTAACAGCAGGCTTTTTATAGATATTAAAATAATTATTTAAATATTTGAAATTAAGCCATTTGGGTTTTTTTTCCCCCCTTTCCTGTTCAACTTAATTGACATTGACATTTCTTGAGTTTGTAACTTTTGCCATCCTTGGAGTGTAAACCGCTTCACTGTCAAATTGGAGATGCATGTCAGAAGTTTGTGGCTTCTGGTAAAATATCATTCTGTGTTACAAATATTGGCAACTCAGGAAAAATGACTGAAGCATTTGGAGACTGACACTTATGTTTGGAATTGTTTTGGTATTTAGGCCTCATGAAATAGCTGAACATCCAGCAACCAAAAAGCCAATCAGCTCTGATGGCAGAGGCTTTCCAGGGAGTGGGAATGCCGCAGGTCAGAGCTCTGTGGAGGAAGGAAGCTCCAGTGCCGGCAGCCTGTCCAAGGACGAGCTCTCGACTGGGCACAGTGGGAATTGAGAGCAACTGTCTCTGCAAAGTGCACAGACAGAGCTGCAGCGAGGCTCCTGCTTCCCTGGGCTGACCCAAAAACCTCTCTTCTGTGCTTATCTGATTCCATTGTTGCATTTTAAACTCCTGTTGGCAGCAATCTGGCAATAATGAAACAAGTTTTAACTTTGGAGGTTATTGGGACAGGAGTGGAGGCTGCAGAGCTGGCAGTTGCCCTGGTCAGTCATCTTCACTGCCTTTTCTGAGTAGATAAAATACATGCAATTTTAGTCCATAAAAATGTATAATATGCAAATGTTAAAAAAAAAAAAAACAACCCAAATGCAACTTGCGTATCTAAAAGTTTGGGCATACTTTTATACTGTTAATGTTTCAGTAGAGACATTGAACAGGTAGAAACTTCTAGTGAATAATATTTCTGTTGGTAAGTTTGCCGTTAAAAACACTTTCTGTGTTTGCTTAAAATAATTAAATGGAGAATAGAGTGAAACTACCTTCTGCTTCTCTTCACAGGTTGAAGAACAATGGCTTCCTTCAGCAACCTGACTATTGGCATTGCTGTTGCCAGTTTTACTGTATTTCAGCTCCTCTTCCACGTTTTAAGTTCTTGGGTGTCAGCACGAATAACACCTGGTTTTAACAATCTCAGCCAAAAAAGGAAGATTGAGTGGAATTCAAGGTAAAGTGTTCAAAACAACAGTTAGAGACCTACCTGAAATCATGGACACCAGAACCACCTGTGTGTGTATGTGTAAGACTGAAGAAAACCCTATTAGTTAAATGTTTGTAAAGATCAGAGGGCTGGCTCTAAGCACTGGACAAATAATGCATGTGAAATGTTGAGGCCCCTTCATGGAAACACAGCATTACTAGCACTTGTACATTAAACACTTTGTTAGACAGTGATGCCCACGTAAAGGTCAGTACAAACTAACAGTGACTGGTGAGTGGTAATAAACTGAAGCCATGTTCTGTGATGCTTCTAGTAATGAGAAGAGATAAAAATTCCTTTCCAAACACGTGTGAAAATCAAAATTATGGCAATTAATTCTGAGTCCCAGTGTATCTCTGGTCATGCTTTTGGGAGCAAAGCAGTTTGCTCTCTGTTCACCTGGTGCTACTACACTGCAAACTGTTTTATATAGGTTAAGGTTTCCCAAGGAATTTAGTGACACTTTGGTGTAGTGTTGAAGAGAGTCAGGTTCATATGTGCTGCTGGGAAAGGAGACTGCAGGAGGAGGAGGGGAAGCTATAGCAGACGCAGGGTACACATGCAAGAAGGAGTCGTGGAAACAGTCCAGAAACATTCCTCACTCTCTCTGTGTTTCTGCATTTCCATTAGTGGGATGGATCCACCTGCATTTCACTTGTTTCCTCAGGTACAGGACTTCTGGAAACTTGTTTGACACCTGAGTCTTTTAAGCCATAAGGGAAATATAAGATAGTAATTGAAAATGGGGCGATCAATGAGGTTTTATTTGCAATATGCTACTCTGAGTGCGTATATATGGCACACAAGGTTCTCCAGTTGAAATTAATTGGTACAGTGTAACCTTGAGTAGCCTATTACAACTTTAATATATTTTTTCAGCTGTTTCTCAAATTTAAAGCTCAAAAATGTGTACTGCATGTTGTCACTGCAGTCAAAATGCATTAGTTGCAGTTCTGTTCTTCCTCAGTGCTGTTTAGTATCAGGTGGATACTTTTTAAAGTTGTTTCCATTGTTCTAGGCAGCATTAGCAATTCAAATAGCCTTGCCCTTCCATTTGGCAAATGTCCACCTGCAGTGTTCTTAAAGGCACCATCTTGATTTCAGTTCCATCTTTGAATAATTACCTATCTGCCAGAACAACTGTGGAGGATGCCAGTTCACAGTGTCAGTGCACCTTAGGTTTATCTCTCTCTTCCAATTAACAATAAGAGGTAGACAGGAGAAGTAAACTAAACTGTTCCCATGTGGAGCTGCACTATTGTCTATAAGCCACATCAAATATCCTTTGAATTGCATAATAGACTTTATGAGCACTTACCCCATGCCTGGTAGCGCTATGCTGGTGTAGTGCTTTGCATAATAACATGAATTATTTCACACATCACAAGTGTGCTGGAAATAAGCTGCTCCGTAATCTCTGGGCTACTTTGTAATAAGGTGTTTAACTGCTCAACTTTATACAGTACCCCAATTATGGTCTTTTTTACCTCTTTGTGCATTTTTCTTCCTTGGGGTTGATAGCAGGATGTAGATGTTGTGATGGGTTCTGATTCCAGGCTTCATCCAGTTCAGGATTTGGAAGGCATAAAACACAAAGCATGGTTCATCAGCATCTTGTGGATGTTATAACTGAGGAGGGCATGAAGGGAAAGAAAGGCTAGCTGTGCTTGTGTTACTTCAGCTCTTCTAACCAAACACAGTCTTTTGTCAAACTGCCCTGTCACTCCAGTATTGGAAATGAAGAGAGGCCTCAAAGGAGCATCTTGCAAGTTCAGAGAATGTAGAGTATGTATTTATTCTGCAGAGAGGTCTGCAGGTAGAGACAGTTACTATATCCCAGTAAAATCTGTTGGTTTCATTTAAATGATTTAAAAGTAGGTGGTTGTTATTGTGTCCTATATTGAACTGGTGTAGGGAGTGTGCACACAAATGATTCTGTTGGCACTGCTAAGGAAACTGGCACAGAGGATGGTTATGCATTTTTATCAGCTCAGCTGGGTCTGGAAGAGGGCATCTGCCTGAAATGAGCTGTAGCATTGAAAATATATTGTTACAGTTTGGAGGGCTTTGTAATCAAGCATTTGAGCTGCAGCTCTTAACTGTATTTTCCATGCTGTCAGTTTGTTCATTCTGACCTTCCAAGAATTATGAACCAATAAAGTAATTGCTTCTGGCATCTGAAGTATATGGACACTCAAATTGAGTTAAAAACAATACTTGGTCTCAGATGTAGTATAACACTTCAAGCTGTACACATATTCCTTTCACCTCTCCTATAATAGATGGTTGTACTGCTATTAAGTAGTTGTGAAAAAAAAAATTAAAAAAAAAAGCAAGTCTGCAACCTAGCATTGAAGCTGTTTTTTGTTTGCAGCTTAATGAGGAGTTAAAGGATGCAAGCTTTGAAAAAAATTTCAAGGAAATGTACAGAGCTTGATAGCTTGACCTAGATTCCTTATTAAAACGGACTGTTGTACTATTTCCCTTCTGCCCTGTCTATGGAAAAGCTTCAAAGTCCAGAGTTAAGGAGGAAATCTGCTGCCTTTTCTTTTACTCCCATCAAGTGTTCTACTTGTGTATAACTTGTATTCTAAACAGAAAGGTTCAGGTAAATGGCCTCTTCAAAATCAAATTGCAACTGTAAACTAATAAGCTGTATTTTAGGACAAATTTTCCTTCTTGTAGCTTTATCCTCTCCTCAAGTTCAAAAATTCCAGGTATTTCTCAGACACTAATATTGCATGTTTTGCTTCGTTTTTAAAAAGCAAGAAAAGTTCCTATCTTTTTAAATCCTGTGTTACAAGAGTACACCTTTTAACTAAACTATTAATTATCATTAAAATTCTGATAATGAAATTTTCTTTCTTTGTTAAAAGAAGAGAGGGCAGAAGTGCAGCCTGTACTGTAATGATTATTAATTGTTCTCATCCAGTTTTTGACTACTCATTTTATACTAATCTCCATTCATTTTCTGGCACACTATTGAAAAAGCTGCTGAAAATAGCACAGTGACACTCTTGAAACAAGTTGTAAATACAGTCTCTTTTATGAATAGTACAGAACCTTCTATTGCCAATAGATAATAATACCACTTCTGGAAATGGAGTAGGGATTATAACCTCTTTCTTTGCAAAGTCTTCTGCAGGAAGTAAGATGTTTTCTTCAAATCTTGCATGGTAGAGCTTAGATTCCTGAGAGTGCCTTAAGGATATCTAAAATATTAATGACTTCCAAATACATGTATTCAATATGTACAAAGGCAAGAATAATAACTAACAGCATCTGTGCATTTGTGTGTATATGGTTGGTGCTGTGAATGCGGTGTGAAGTGTTTCCAATCACACAGCACTGAACGTAGTTCTCATCTTTCAAACAGTATCTGTGATTCCCTATGGATATTTTTTCACTTTTTTTTTTTTTTTTTTTTTTTTTTTCCTTTCTAATTACATTTAGAAAGTGGGAAAGCAGACAGTAGCTACACATATTAGGTGCAGCTTCTAGTTGAGTTAAACCCGTGGCTAGAGCAGGAAGGTTACACATTTTGGAGCCATGCCCGTGGCATTGTTCTTCTTTCCAAGAATACATGTGGACTGAAAGGGCAGGAGGGGCCCTGGCCGGTGTGCTGGCAGAAGCCTGCTGGGGCTCCTGTAAATAGATATTTCTCTAAAAGTGCATTCTTGTTAACATGCAGAGTTTATCTACACTGTGTATGCAGCCTGTAAACTAGAGACTGTTGTTTTTGGAGGAAAAATGTGTCTAGTACCCAGGTAGGGACAATGCAACCTTGATTACTATGATGTTTATTTTATATTTCCCTTGTCTGCTAGAAAGCTGCTAATTTATATAAGCCTGTAGCTGTTATACCTTGGGTACTCAGCTACAACCAAGTTATACAAGTTTTCTCTTTGAAAACCAGAATCTACTTCAAATGCACTAGAAATTGTATCTAAACCTTAGGATTTTTCATTTAATACCACCTTCCAAATCCAAAGTTATTATGGGTCTTTTAATTTGGTGTCTGAAAGGCTGTTGCAGGACTCCTGGGCTAATCTGAGTATGAAATTGCATATACATTTTCCAGCAAATGGGACAATACAGAAAACATTTGTTAGAGAGCTAGATGTCATACTGTCTTTAAGGATTCATTAATATATGGGATTATTGGAACAAAACTTAGATCTCCCTTACTTTTAAGACTCACTTTGTATCTAATACCATCAATCCCACTCCAATCTTTTTGCCTGTTTTTTCCCACCTGTCATTGTGTAAGTGGTTGGGTGTAGCATAGAGAACAAATGATTGTCTCCCACAGAAGTGTCTGGAGGCAGTTGAGAATGCCATCCTTAAGCACAGTATGGGAAGTTGTGAATGGCAGTACCTCCTTGTGACTGTGATCTCTTTTTCAGGACAGTGTCCACATTCCACGCCTTGGTGGTTGGAGGGTTTTGCCTTTATATTTTATTGTACGATGATGCTGTTAATGCTGACCATCTCTGGTAAGGCATGTTACATATATGTTGTGGTTGCACAATAAAAGAACATAATTGAGAAGAAAAAAAGGACTCCTGCAGTGTATTGAGTACTGAATGATCATTAAAATATTCAGTTGTGATGTGTTTGGTTTTTTGTCTGTACTATTTAAAAATTTGATAACAATTGTGTCAGTATTTGTGTCTTAGTTCAATGTGTCTCTGTGAAGTGAAATAGATAAAATACAAGCAATTGATTTGAAATAGCATATTCAATTATTAAAGAGTAAACTGTAACTATAAGTCAGTATGACTGAAACTGTGCTATTTACAGTAATAATTTAAAAGTGAAATTGAAAAGCTGTAGCAGATGTGGATAGTGTGTATCTGTGTGAAAGTTCTCCATTGAACCCTGCAGATGGTTTGGGTTCAATGGAGAGAGAATGTAGTATTGCTGTCAGGTAATGCCTGAAAATAGATGCAGTAGATCATAACAGAGACTGGAGCATTGGTAAGCTCCAGGGAGCAACACTGTTGTGTGTGACATTTTTTGATGGTCTAGGACTTCTCATAAAACTTTTATTTTTTTTTTCCTGTATGTACTAGAGACTAACACAGATGATGTAGAAATTGTTTTTGTGGTAGTGAGAATCACATGGTAGAAAATGTGGAGGTGGTACAGATCAGATAAGGAGAGGGAGAAGACATAAATAAGTGGATTAAGTTGTAGCTTCATAGGAGAACAGGCTCTTTCCTATGACTATTCACTTCATAGTCATTACAGTTTTTCAAGTTTGATGTTTGATTAGCATTTTATATAACTCTGTATCTGCAAATAAGTTGAAAGCAAGTCAGTTTTATGGATTTTTTGTTTGTTTTATCTGCCCATGCATCTTCATGTGTAATTCATTTGCCACACATACCTTCTCAGCAATCACCAAAGAGAGAGTTCTTCCCATTTGCTTATTCAAGTCACTCCCTGTTTGTCACGCTGGGCTCTTGCTTGCATCAAAATTGGCCTGCAGACATCAGGGCTCATTAATTCCATTGCACCTTCCATTCAAGGAGATAGGTCAGGAAATCTGGAAGATTTTAGACTAAATTCTGACTTCTCCATTTATTGAGAATAATTTGGGATTCTAACATGGACTCTTCTTGAAAGGATGTGACAGATGGACAGTGCAGCCTAGAGGAGGTTTGATGCAAAGTGACCATTCTCTAGGGAAAAAAAGGAGGGAAGCAAACCGTTCTCTGTCCCATCCAGTTAAGTCATGTCTACCATTATCAAGGAACCAATTTCATATATTCAGTCCTTTGCATGTTCTCTGTAGAATATGAAGGCTCTTGAGCGCAGGCTTAGTCTTAGTGGTGATGTGCTGATGTGTGTTGGGACCCCTGAGAAGTTTAGTTATGATGCTGCTGCTGCAGCTGGGAGCTCTAACATGAGCCATCTATGTCAAGAGTTTCTGCTAAAGTTAGGAGAACATATCTGTCTATACTCTATGTCTAAACCTAAAGAAGCACTTAGCCCACTACATATGTAGCTCATGATATCAAGTTTTGAAACTATGGAAAAATGTTCCCATTTCAGGCTGTATTTAACAGAACATCTCTGGCCAGTCTTAACAGATGGAGTGAATTCCAGACTCTCCTAGTAATGATTTTTCTTCACCTAACAGCAGAACTCTGGTTTTGTGAGTCCTATTTTCCTGTAGACAACCCTCTCACTGAGGAGAACAGTTGGTTTTAGACACTAAAAAAGCTTTACAATTTAGTGATCAGATTGTAATAATACAGGAAATCTCTTTCCACTGCTCCATTCCAATAAGATTAAGAAAAAATAGTTAAGTAATAGCATTTTACTGTGTTCTGGCTGAGGCAGACTTTGTATTGGAGTAGGCCGTAAGCACAGTTAGCTTCCTTTTCCTGGAAAGGTTTACAGCAAGGATTGCTTTCACATGTTGTCTTGTGCGGTCTACATTTTATGGATCTGTTGACCTGTCATTTGAAGCTCAATTCATATTTACACAAAACATAGCTAGACTAGTTGCACAACTTAATTTAAAAATTAAGTTACAATCCTTGTGCCAAGGAAAAAACACTTGCTTACCAAACTCCTCAAAGTAGGAATGTACAGAGGACAGAGGAGAGAAGAACAAACATTGCTTGCTGTAACATGGATGCTTCCCTTTCTTGAGCTGTATTCACAAGTTTGGGTTTGTTGAATGTTCTAGAGGAACTGAAGTTGTGGGTGTGCTACTGCTGAATGTTTGGCACTAAAAGGGAGGGGATAGAAGGTGTGGAAACCACTCTGAAAAGCAATTCTGCTCAAAGGTTCTTTGGCTTCAGAGAACTGGCAAATAATTCCTTTCCTGTGTCCTTTTACTCTGTTTATCCCTATAAACATCCATCTGATTATGAATATGAAAGGAACCAGCTGAGCAAGATATTTTTGTCACCCTTAACAAACTTTTAGCACTGGCAGAAACCAAAAATGGAGCCACAGAGTGCCTCAGTTAAAGGGTAAGAGACAGAGACTGGGCTGTTCTATTTTATCCTCAGTTTCCTGAGAAGCCAGCTCAGAGTACTTGCTGGGTTTCAGTTCAAATCTCTAGCAGGGCTCTTGGGGCAGTCTCTGCACCAAGGCAGAGGTTGGTTCTGATTAGGGTAGTTAGTAGGTGTCTTGTATTTGAGTGGAAAAGGAATCCACTTGTATGATTAGAGCCCTTCTTTGACTAGATTGCATAATCTCTTACTGATGGGCCAAGAATAATGTGCCCTGATGGGCATGGTGTTTGAGATGTGTATGTCCTTTGCAAATTAGGCTGTAACTATGTATTTTTGGTATGTTTACAGGGGTGACCCTTCAATTGTGAAGCTGAATATTGCTATTACCACAGGCTACCTCATTTCTGGTAATTATGCAACATGTATATAGCCTGCATGACCTGTTTATTTATATTGAGTCACTATACATATATGTTTATGCTGAGCTACTGTGGTGAAGATGTGGTATGTTTACACAATACAGTTTCTACTGCAGCTTTTAAAATTGCTAATGGATTTGTATGTTGTGGTGAAATCACAGGATCTTGCTAGCAGATGTGACAGATGATATCTCCCCAAGCACTGAGGAAATACCACGGTGTGGCTTTGTCATGGTTTGATGTACAACCACCAGCTCCAGCTCAGTTTTGTCCTTTGGCAGTTGAGAAGGTGTTAGAGCAGTGCCCTTCACTCTCTTCTCAGTGCCTACAACTCGTAGCTCTTCCATCATGTGTTCCTGTGACCTCAGAATGCTGGCAGAAGAATTTTAGTAGCCCTCAATACAAGCTGAGGAAAATGATGCCATAGGATCCTGCCTGCCCATCTTTTAGTCCCCTTTTAAGGCAATTCAGCCATGTATAAAACATGGGAATTATTTGTTTTGTATGTTATTTATTCCTACATATGTTATTTTTTCTGTTAAATTTTTATGTTAATTTTTTATGTTAATTTTCCTACATTTTTAATTTTTCTGTCAACTAAAATTGGCATGGAAATTTTGCTACAAAATGCTTTGGAGCTTTGTTTTATGTTGTGTGGGGATAATACTGGCTTATCAAAGCAGTAACTTGTGACTTGGACTATTTTCAGTGAGAACTACTCATTTAGGATGAAGTCTCTGATCAGAGACTGGGCCACAGACTTGGTTATCTCATACTGGATTTCTCAACCCAGTGAAACTGATAATCTGGTGATCAGCATATTCAGTTAAACTGTGCATTACTTTAAGTGTCTGGGGTTTTTCATAGCTTCAGCTGCCATGTTTAAATTAATCAGTATCTATTTTTGAATAATTATACATTAAACTTTCATTATGAATTAATGATGCCTTTGAACAGGCATCTCAACCTGACCACTCATTCTCTCTCACTTCCCTATATAGTTGATGTTTAATTATTAATAGGAAGTGAGCAGCTGTGTCAGATGATGTAGAGCCCTGCCTGAGGATAGCTAATATAAAAGAGATCAAGGCACACTCTGGACTTTAGAAAGGCACAGGGGTAAAGTCTTTGATTTGGATTTGGAACCTTGGTCAATAATATTCCAGTCCAAAGTACTCATTTGCAGAAAGTAGGGACAGAAATTGCTTGTTCCAGTAGAGAGAACAAGATCTTCTAAATTCTCAGACCATCATGGAAGAAAGATCTTTTTTTTTCAGGTTTTTTTTTTTGTTTATTTTATATTAAAGCTTTCTTTTTAGCACTAACTTGCTATATCACTTTTGCAGTAGTTAGAAAATTGGGATTTAATAAAGCAAATATGCTTCTTATTCCAAGTGCCTCTTGCGAAATAGTTTTGGTAAATGGTTCCAAATTTACTAATATACTTTATATTTTGATTCAGAGGTTCTCTGTAATAGATCCTTGTATTTGTTGCATGTATTTGTATGTTTGCTATGCCCCCTGCAGACTTTCTTCTTTTTTTTTATGTCATTTGTTCTAGATTTTTGGGGTCATAAGTGTGAAGTCACTCTGAGATTCAGGATCCACCTTTTCCTTTCAAAATACTTAGGCTAAACTTATTGTGTCTGTATTTCCATTGATGTGGAAAGTAATAATTTATGGAAATTGTTGGGAGAATACTATTGCCTAATGCTTTGACTGAAGTAAAGTCTTTAGGATAAAGATAGGATAAAGATGATCTCTTCAGACATCGTTAATTCAGAGGGTTTCTACTGATGCCATATCTTGGTATATCTCTAAAATGTACAGAAGCTATTCTGTATAATATGATTGTATAATACGTATAAAATGATTGTATAATAAATAGTTCTTTATAGTTATTTCTGTTCTCTTGTAGATCTGTTGCTTATTATTTACTACTGGAAGGCAATTGGTGACAAATTTTTTGTAATACATCACTTGGCAGCTCTGTATGCTTACTATTTTGTACTGGTAAGTGCTGTATTTTCTTGTAACATAAGCAGATGAGGTTAAAGAAGCAGCTTCTATAGCCCTCACTTGCTTAATGTTAAAATTTCACTGGTTAATGAAAGGCATACTTATACTTTAATCATTATTTTAAAATGTTTTTATCAGTTTATGGTAAATGCATGACTTTTCAATGTTACACTCCAACAAAAATGTGTAACTTTGTTGAACTTTTCTCAGTTTTTGCTGTAAAGAGACTTTGACAGAAGAGCTTTTCATATGGTTATAGAACAGGGTTTTAAATAGAACCACAGGCTTGAATATTTAGTTGGAAAGTTAGAAGGAAATGGTTTCAAGTGGTTATGTTCTACTTCTGTCTCCCAGGTAACAAGTGACAGGATGAGGGGAAATGGCCACAAGTTGTGCCAGGGGAGGTTTATTTTGGATAGTAGGAAGAATTTCTACACTGAAAGGGTGGTCAGGCAAGTGTTCAGGGAAGTGGTGGAATCACCATCCCTGCAAGTCTGAAAGGCGTGTGGATGTGGCACCTGGGGATACGGTTTAGTGGTGAGCACACAGAGCACAGTTAATGGTTGCACTCGATCTTGAGAAGGTCTTTTCCAACCTTAATGATATCTTCCCTGCCTACTGTGAATCCCAGGCTTATAATACTAAAAGTGTCGAGATGCCAGATTAGTGTCAGATTTGCCATGTAATGGTTTAAAGGGGCTGAAGTTCACTGTCAAATAAATACTCTATTTCTGGTTGAAGATAATTAAATTTACTAATATTATCATGGATGAAAGTGAATTAGAGCTGAATATTAGATAAACAAAAATACCACTACCAAGGCTAATCCCCCATGCAGAAAATTTATTAGCTGTTTCTGGAGGAAACAGAAAGCATAATATTAGTGTGAGCTTCTTTAAAAGCATTTATTTCTATGTGGCTCTAGCTCTGCCTGGGATGCCAGTGTGTTGCTCTCAGTCTGTTGTCTTCAGAGAAAGTTACCCCTAAGTATGTTATTTCCAAATTGCCTTTTGGGGATAGGAAAGAATTTGGTTAAACACACAGATTTTCTCTTTTGTGAGTGCAAACTGATGCGAAATGCTCAAAGTAGTGGGTATTTGCTTGCTTGGTGGGGGAAAGAGGAATAATGGCACTCACTCCATAGGGTGTTCAGGAAACCTAAGGAAATTAAAAACCCCCAATCTTTATATCTCTACATCTGCAAACTGCTGCTTAGCCAGCAATTGTGTAAGTGGATGCTGCTTGTCACCTGGAGGGAAGAGCTCAGCTGGAGGGGCTGTGGTGTGGATGTGCCCATGGAGGAGCTGTGCCTGACCCACGGGCATGGCAGGGACCTGGCAGAGCTGCTGGCAAGGGCCACCCCTGCCCTCTGCAGGAGGGAAGAAAGGAATCCTGTGCCCTTCCCTGCTGTCAAATAAGAGCTGGGAATTCGTCTTCGCTTTGGCTAAATATGTTCCTGCAACGATGCAGGAGGATTTTTCTTCAGCATAAAGTGTCTCTTGTTTAAACGTTGAAAAATTAAAAATGTTTATGATTCTTTAAGACAGTAATGCTATCATGGTAATTAGTAATCTATGAGTACTTGTGCAAACTTTCTCCAGTTAGTTTCTCATGGCCATTTAACTGTAGGTCTTATAAAGGTTTATTTGAAGTAAGAAGCTTCTGATTGGAGATACCTGAAGGACAATTGCAGCTTTTGTGAGAAAACTTGCTTTGAAAGTGCAAGAAAGGTGGCCACAGCTGGCAAACTCAGTTCAATTATAGAAGCTGAGATGATGTATCATTCTGTGTATACTTGAAGACTCAAATGACAATTTCACATCTACATTGTTGATTTTTGTATGTCTGTTTTGTTTTGCTAACCAGAGCAAAGGTCTGCTGGCTTATTTTGGAAACTTCCGTCTCCTTGCAGAGTTCTCCACTCCTTTTGTCAATCAGCGGTAAGTGTTTAGGGAGGTTTTCTGTAGTTCTTTTAATATTTTATCTGCATTACTATTTCTGTCACTTAGGGAGTCTTTTTATAGTTGTCAAATGTCTGCTGACAGGGAATTTATATGTATTGAACTAAGAATTACTATATGAAAGTCTTTTTTGCTATGAAAACATTTTGCTGCTATAGCTGCAACAGTATAACTAATGTATTCATCTCAGAGTTGATTTCTAGATTAGACCAGGCTTTGTATGAAATGCCAGCTTTTTATGAAAATACCAGACAAAAATTCACAAATAAAATATTATTTATTAACTTTTGTATATTAATTTATTTTTTTATAATAAAGCCATCTTCAATATGGATGTTTCTTCTTTGTATCATGGACGAGAAAAAGAAGCAAGATAATGTTGTCATTAGAGTCCTAGAATGAAATTGCATTGTCTTGTATAATTTGAAATTTATTTTCCAATATTCCACACATGTAGATCAGTATTAATATATGCATATGAATATCTAGAATAATAGAAATGTTTGTTTTTTATTTGCTTTGAAAAATAGTTCTGCAAGATACTTTGAGCACTTAGCTATATCTGAGATGGTTAATCTTCACACCTGTGATTCGAGAAGAAAGGGGCTGAAGCTTGTCCTGCAGAGCTCAGAGCCTGCCCTGGCTACTGGTTCAAGTGTTTTTACCTGATGTGCTGCTGCATCAGAAAAGGAGGCTGATAATGCCACATACTGCTGCAAGGGGAAAGTGTCTGGAGTTTCACGGTGCTGTGGGGAGGGTGGCCTCTCCCCTCACTCTGTAGCCTTCAGGCCACAGCTGGGGATAGGGTTTGCCCCAGAAAGATTTCACCTCAGGCGAGGGGCTTTGGTACAGAGCAGGGCTGCAGTCTTCTCCTCTTCCTCCAGTTTTTTGCAGGGTAGGATGAGGACTTTCAGTGTATCAGATGCCTTTTCCTTAACCATGCTTTTTGGGCTGTATGTGTGGCATCTGTTTGCTTTTCCAGATGTCTGGAAGGGAAAGGATAAGGCAAATAGAAACTGCATTCTTCCTGCAGACAGGCTATTGCCCATCACTGCATTGTGACTGTAATCTCTGAAGTGTTTCATGACACTGATGCATTCCTCAGAGCTCTTACAAAATGTGGTCCCTTTTGAACACCAGTTTGGTAAACTCGAATTCACAGGAGGACAGGATGGGATAGTGGAGCTCTCCAGAGGCTGCTCTCCTCTGCCCCAGTGCAGTTGAGTGGGCTGTAAGTCTGTTGTAGCCTGTGCTCTGTGTGACAGAGAAACTAAAGACTAAATAAACACTTTTTTGAACTTAATGAAGAAAAAAGGGTTTATATTGTTATTCATGTCCATGTGAATGGCTGTTGTCCCAGCTTCTGTCAAGATAGGATGCCATCCTGGGTTCATGTGGGTTCCTCCACTGGTGCTTGCCTTTCAGACTGTGGCGTTAGAAAGAACTGTGGTACATCTGGCTATTAAAATAATTTGTTATACTTTTAAAATGCCCATGGTGAGATTATGGGTCTTTGAATACTGACATTTAGCACTCTCTCAGAAAAGCAGAAATTGCTGCAGGAGATAATAAAGTCCCTTGCACTAGGGGATGTCATCTCATTAGTGCATGATTTTTTCCATTAAATTTGAAGTGAATCAGACCCTTAAGAGAGTAAGTAGTGGGTAATGATAACGACTTACATAATGTTTCTTGTTTGCATTCTTAGTCTACCAAAAGAGCTCTTATTAAAATATAAAAAGATATTCTAATCTTAGAGCTGTCTGTGTATTTCCTGTCTGTGTTGTTAGGGATCTCTAATTGGATGTTGTATCCATGCCAAGCATTTAGATCTTTTAATGTTAATATCAGCATTTATGTAATTAATTCTGAACTGTGGTGGATAAAATTGTAATGGTAACTGTTATTTACAGACCTCTTTTAAAAATTTCCTGGGAAAGGGAAGTTGCTAAACAGATGCCAATTACCTATACTAGTATGTTGCAGTATGTTTGAAAACCATTCTTTACATTAATTTTTGATTCTGCATTGTATATATCATTGAAAGTAAAGGCTTTGATTGTTAATCTGACCAAACATATCAAGTCTTTCTCTTCATGATGTCAGTAAGTGTTTCTGTGGTGAGGCATCCTGCTTCCGGGCTGGACTGCCACCTCGAGTGCCTAGATTTTAATTGTCCTAGTTGCATGCTTAATGAATTTCTAGACTATTTCTGTTAGAGCTGGATGTCTGGAAAATCTTTTTAGTGTACTTATAATTGCCTAGGTTGTAATCTGTAGGTAATTAAATTAAAAATTACTTTTAAAACCAGGTTTAGAACTGGTTTTTTGTTAAATCATTTTAGCCATGTATCTTGCTGGAGAAAAACAGATTATTTCATTCTCTTCCCAATCCCCCATTATGAATACAGTTATTCAAGTTATTTTGCTGTGGTTTTGCCTCCTGTTGCTGCACAAATTTTACTTGTTTATTCTGGTTTAAGTGTAAATGACAAAGGATTAGAGAAGTTTGTTGTTCCTTTTTCAACTCTCAGGTTCTGTGTGCTAGGCAATAGATAAGTTATGCCTGTCTACTATATCTAGGAATAAATATGCAAGAATTCTTTTTTAGAGACCATTTATGACCCAGCAGTAGATGGAGAGGCAGTTTTTAGATTTCTCTTTTTTCATTGGATAATATTCCAAGTTGTGACATGATCAGGAGTTCACAATGTTTGGTTCTGAAAATGTTCTGGTTTTGGGCTGAACAGAAGCAGTCAGAAAATGCCAATTACGAGAAATTAGAGCTCTATCTGAATTACCAAATTCAAATGCAATTTTAGAGTTGCTTTCAGTGAGATAAAGATTTTTGGCTGCTGTTGGTATAAACTATAACAGTAAGTAATAAATATGTCTTTATGATTTTAAAATATAGTTTTATTATTGTATATTACACAATAGTCACTGAAATGCACGTGCGTTGTCAACTGGTTCACAATTCATACCAGGATTTTCTGTGTTATTCTGCAGTATTCTGGATCTCATACACTGCTTAAGTGGTGGGGGAAAAGTGCAGCCAAGCAGAAGGATTTGTAACTAAGCCAAGAAAAAGTGCCATAATTTAGAAATTATAAAGGTAGAAGCAATTAATACATGATGATTTACAAATAAACATGAAGTAAAATAATTTTTAATGAGATGGCTTCAAGTCTGCCTGGTATTTGTGAACACTTCTTTTGCAGGTGGTTTTTTGAGGTTCTGGGATATCCCAAATCTTCAAAGGCCAACATCATCAATGGTGTGCTGATGACAGTTGTGTTCTTCGTGGTGAGGATTGCCGTCATGCCTGTGTATTACAGCCACGTAATTTCTTCTTTTGGAACAGAAGGTTTCCAGAGATTAGGATTTGCAGCCCAGAGCGCCTGGATGATCTCAAGTATTGTCTTGGATATTATGAATGTGATGTGGATGATCAAAATTGCAAAAGGATGCTACAAGGTCATATGTCTTATTGGACAGGAGGAAGCAAAAACTCATAGAAATGGAAAATCTGCCTAGAAATCATACATAAATGAAATTTCTGCTATGAAAATAATTTGGGTTCACTGAAACAGTGCACATTTCTGCCATGGAATGCTCCTATTATGGAAACAAGGTATTACCTCTGTACTGACCTTACTCTTTCCCTAGCCACACTGCCTGCACGCCCAGGGCCACGCTTTGCGGATCCTGTCCAGTGAGGAATAAAAGCAAAAGCTCACACAGATGAGTTCCACATGCCTGTTCTAAGCAGTTGCAAGCATCAGAAATTAGACAGGAGCAGACTGGTTACTGCTTATTGTCCACCAGTATGTTCAAAGTGTTTCTCTCAGGTTTCTCAGATTAAAATGTTTTATAAATCCAGTGAATACTGACATATCTGTTTTTTTAGAAAATGAAAAATTCTCCAAACTCCTGATAATGGTGCAATTTTCCAGGCACGTTTCTATGTTTTCTTCTAGGAATAACAATCAAGATTTCATTCTTGACAACTTTTTAATTTTTGCAAGAAAAGCTAAAAATTTGGCTTTGATTCTGTGAAGTCTTTTACTGCTTTCGGTTCTGCCTTATATGAATGCAAACCATTTTGGGAAATTTTGAAATAATTTGATCTAAAATGCTGTATTATAAGACCACATGATATCTTAAGAGCTGTTAAAATTCTCACTTTGATGGGAAGGATTCCCATGTGCTAGGTTACATGCAATAGTACATCTTCTAAATTCCCCATGGAACTTTTTCTGTAAGTTAATATGGTAGATGATGTGTGGAAATGGCATAGTTCCTACTGAAGTGCTTTTCCCTTTGCTGCTACTACCTTTGAGAAGTGCTGCAATTCTTCTCAGAGTATTTTTAACCATTGGCTATTTGGAGTCTAAGTTTAATTGAATGTGTAACTTCAAGTAATACTTCGTTCTTTTATCACAAAATGACCTGTTTGATATGAAGCATTGAGTTTTTGTCATATTTTTATTGTTAATCAAGTTAAAAATCTGAGGTGTGACTAAGAACACTCTTGAATTAATTGTGCCAAACTCCTCTAAAACTGTGTGGTAATTCCATAGAAGGAACAGTTGATCACTGTAGACACAATTTATTTTGTTGTTGTTTTAAGCCACACGTTTGTCAATAGATACTCATTTACTCTGTCTGTGAACTGAAGGCTTTGAAGTCATCAGAGAGGACTCTCACCATCCAGGAATAGTCCTAAATCTCATTTGTAATATGATTTGAGGAAATTCTGAGTTATATCTTATTTTAAATTATTTTGAGAGCTATATTTATGTGTAAATTTGTTTTGTTTCATTTCTTTTATCCAGAACTGTGGCTGATTGACTTCTAGTTTTTTTCCTTGGTGTAGGTATGTTAGTGTCCATTTTCACTGAGACTTCAGTGCACATCCCGATGATTGCAGCAATCTGTTAAAGCAATTTATTTTTAAACAGAAGGGTAGCATATTTACCCCGTGTTGGGTGATTAGTCCTGCTCCCTGTGACAAAGCTGGGTGACATGAGCTTTCCCCTCTGTAGTCAGAGGTGCGAGTGCCCTGTGCTGTCCTCCCTGCTGAGGGACTAGGCACTCCCCTTGTCCAGAAATTGCATGTAAGAGACCCAGGAGAACTGCATAGGCTGCAGTGCCTTCTAACCAAGGCAGCTGCCATGAGTTCAGGTCCCCAGTTAAAATGCTGTCAGGGAGTATTGTTTCCACTTGTGTAAAACACACTTTTGAAAGCCCAGTTGCATTGCTCTGCTTGACAGGCCTTTTTCTAAAAGTTTCCCAATCCTGCCTTGTTGAAGGAGGTAGCAAGGATTGTCAGTAGTTGTGGTTTTGGATCCCGTAGTTATTAACACTTCACAGCCTACAGACAAAGATCTGTTTATGCCTTGGGAGAGTTAACAATGCATCTGTTGAGCTGTATCATCTGAGTAAGCACAGTGCCTCATTTGGGTACCAGTAAATGAACAGAGAGTTGATCCTGCTCAAAGCAATAGACTCTCTTTTATGCTCATTTGCAGAACCTGGTATCTTTTAAAATGTGATTTCAGTATACCTGATGCAAAATACTCTTTTTTTGCTTTTTACATCACTAGATCCCTGTGATTAATAGTTTTGTAAAAGCTTGGTCCTTTCTAAAATTGAGTACATTCAAACGTTTTGGAGAAGAATGCTTGAAAATAGAAGTCTGTTTTTCTTTTTATGGTAGCAGGATAAAAAAATTGAGAAGACAATTTGGAGCAACTTTTAGGGTTATAATTCATGAAAAGTTTCCGAAATTTATAATTTCTTATATTGATTTTAATATTTCAGTACTTTAAATATTTTGTTGTCAATGGAGGCCATTCATTTAAATGACTGACTTCTCCACTTCTAGATAGACTTGTGTTTGATAGTGGGGGAAAAAAAGTAAGTCAAGCTATAATAAAATTGATGTTAAGACTAGACTTAGGAACAAAAAACAGTCCAAAACTCTGCATACTACACTTTGGCCAACAATCCAGGATTGAAGGGCAGTGAGATAATTCTTCTAGAACAGCTAGTATTTTGGATTGCTGCACAAAATTAGTGTAATTAAAAATCTATTTTGCAATGCATTAGCTCTAAATTTTATAATTTTTTAAAAAAGTTATTACAGTTATGTCCTGATGCATCAGAGGAAAATTTTCTTATTAAAAAAAAAAATTAACAGCTGTGGTTTCAGCAAAGACTTTAGTAAACAGGCAGCAAAGTTGTGATATACTGAATACAGTAGTATATATGGCACTTTTTACCTGCCATTAAAAGCTTATAATACAGCAAATTAGATAGCTGTGGCACCCATTTTTAATTGCACTTTATTAATTTTAAAAATGTAGTGAAATATTGATAAAATTTAATGTTGTAAGTTTGTGTCTTTGCTTTTTTGTGTAAAAAAGTAAATGCATGGTAATTAGCATCCTAAAAATGCTTTTGAATGTAATATCTTATTAGTGGCTTAAAATTTATATTTTTAACCCATGCATTGTAAAAGCAGACTCTTGGCATGTCACCAGGTGTCCTTGCTGTGGGCATATCAAATGGAAGGAGTGACTCTTGTAAAAAATAGTTTGGTTTTCTTTTATTTTCTTTTCTATTCTTCAATACCAGGTGACATTAGCTTGCTGGTCATGGGACAGACTGTGGTACTGGTTAGGCTGTATGTAGAAATGCAAGTTTCCCTTTTTTATGGCTTTAATTTTTCATCAAAAGATGAGTAAATACCATTTTCAGAAATCTAAAGGAGAATGGTAGGTTAGGTGTTCTGTAACTTGATTTGTGGAATAAGTACTTGCAGAGAGAAGTATACTTCAAATACTCATTTGCTCAGAGAATGTTTTGGTGGATTTTAGTGGAGAGCCTCACACAACAGAGATGCTGTATTGGTTATCTGTGTGAATTCTTCAGTGGTAAGAATTACATCTCTGAAGCCTACTCTACCTCTATAAATACATGCTATCTTGAGTGAGCTCCATAATTTAGTAACTTAATTGCTTAAAAAATATAATCCATTGAAAAATGAAATATATGCGCAGGTAAATGAGGGGAGCTGACTTCATATATAAATTCTTAACAATTCCAAATTATGTACTAAAGTCTATTAAAAGTTAAACTATTTACAGTGTTTGGAAGATTATTACTTCCATCTTTACTTCAAATATTGTGGGAGAAGATTACTCATATTGCAGAACTAACAACCTAAGGGTAAAAGCCTACACAAGTGAGTAAATGCATTCAGGCAGCTTTAAAGAGGAGAGGAAGAGGATGCTTTGAGTACATACCTAGAGATCCAGATGTCTTCCTACTGCTGTGGTTGGGCAACAGCAGATGGATACATAGCAGAAAGGTTTGTGTCTCTGTGATGAAAAAGGAAGTTTTATTATTTAAAATTTCCAAGGTGTATAAAATGGAATACCAGTTGTTGATCATTGTATGAAGAGGAATTTTTTCCTCATGGCATTTTGTGTCTTTAAGAATATGGGTGTACAAGCTTTCTGTAAAAGACCATTTAATAGAGAAACCTGAAAAATAATTTTGTGATGCTTCTGCTGAGCCACTCGGAGGAAAATGAAGGGCTGCTTGACGATTACTCCAGCTTAGGGTCTGGTGTCCTGTTGGCTGCTGCTGAAAGCCATCAATGAAGCAAATAGAAAGGGACTAGAATTTTCAGATGAAAAAGTGCAAGTGTAGAAGACTTTGGAAACAATTGCAAGCCCCTTTCATATTTTAATAACCTACTGTACAACAGCATTATCTGGCTACAAGGAACTCCATAAGGGAAGGTTTGTTCCTGGTCAGATTTCTCTGTCTATGGAATACAGGCAGAAAATGAATAGTATTTCATTGCTGGTACCCTGATGGATGGCAGTCAGATGGAAATAGTGATAATATTTGTGAACTTTTAACCTTCATCCAAACCTGGATAAAATCTGTGTTAGATGAAGTTCTTAGGATTTTCTGAAAGCAACTTGAAAGTTGTTTTTATGGCAGAGAAGATGAAATATGTGCTTCCTGGGTTGTTTAGAGATCTGGGATAAAGCATCAAGTCATCCTTAGATGGTAACACTTGGTAAGGTTTCTTTTTCTTATCTATTAAAAATTCCTACTAGCTACCTCCTTTCAAAGTCTTGTTCTATTTATAATAACCAAGCACTTTATAGCTCAGTAAAGAATAGAAGGTAGCTATGAAGAATAAATCATATTGTTTGCAATAAGAAATATTTTGGCAAAAACAGTTTCATTGTGTGATGCCCTGCACTGAGAGGGCGTCTGTTTAATATGAAATATATACATTTTTAACCTAGTTGCAAGTAAAAGAAATGTCTGTAAGAGAGTGAAGTATGAAGAGATGAGCATGGCTTGATATCAACCACATAATGATTCAGTGTGCTATTTATAACTTCCTACTTACTGAAATTGAAAATATAAATGCAAATAAAATATTCTGTATTGTATCTTTATTTTTAATCTGTGTGTGGGATGTCAAACTTTGTACTTGTCTTGTGGACAGGACATGCTTTTATGAGCCTATAAATATTTAAGTATATGAGAATCTGCACCCAAATGGAACATGTTGCATGTAAATTGTCTTCTAAGTTTTTAAATTTTGGTATTTTAAAAAATTTGCTAGGTTTGAAAGAACATTTAAATATGAATACTAAGCTGTAATACAGAATAGAAAATTTTGAATGCAGTGTGGTTTTGTTTATAGTAATCCTATTCCAGTTTCACAAGAAACATAAAATCATAGGGGGAAGGGAGGAAAAGGGCTAATCATGAGCTCAGCTATATAATTTGCACACTTTATGCACACATCCAAATGTCCTGGATTTGTTTCTAGCATGCATTTACCAAACAGTGTTTTCTTCAATATTGACAGATACTTATTTATGTAGAATAAGCACAGCTAACCTGTTATAAATTCAAATTAGAAAACCTGTTTGGAACAAATGAGTTACAAGTTAGGCATAAGTAATGGAGACTGTAATTCGAAAATGTTTATATAATCTATCTAAGAAGAAACTTGATGAGTTTATCTAACTTATGTGCAGAGCAAGGACGAAAACTGTAGATTCTGCTAGACTGATTTCTGGTAAATCTTGACAATCTGGTTTGCAGTAAATTCTAATATTGTCTCAAAATGTCAGGATCACACTATTAAATTCAACTAGTAATGTGACCTGATTGGAGTAACAATCCTTATCATGGCACAAGAACTTAACCATGCAATATAACAATTCTGAAGATTGGTGATAAAAGTAATCCGTCATAGTAAAGTGAATTATTAAGTATTATGGGTTTAAATTTACTTTCTATTACAAGAAAGAATCTGAATTATTTGTTAGCATTTCAGTGATATTGTAAAGCATTTCTGTATTTTGTTTGAACAGTTTAGGAGCTTGCGTAAAATTATATTGGCTGATTTTTTTTTCCCCCTTTAATATATGCAATAATGTCAATAAGCAATAAATTGCATGTTGTATGCAAGGTATTGGTACATCATAATAAAGGAAAGGAACACAGCTTCTTATTTTGTGAATTTTTCTTTCTTAATATGGTTAAGAGCTTATGTACTTATAATGAGTACATAATGAAAGAACAGTTTTGGGGGGGTTAAATTCTGAAACAACTGGCTTTTATGGTATCTTGAGGTTTCATGCTGTATCTTATTTATTTTAAAGAAGGTGAAGATGGATATGAGGTCTGAGCCCCACTGTTGCTCAGGTGGCTGGAATTTTGAATGCTGAAATTCTATGTAGGACGTCACCAGGGATCAGGAATGTAACTTAAACAATAAGTTTGTATATTGGGGAATTGTACATTATGTAAATTTGTGTATTGGGGAAGAACTCTTGGATTTGATAGTATAATTCTGTTGCATTGTCTTGTAATACCATGTGTGTCAGGGCATAGACTGGACAGTTTTCTGAAGGCTCTGGGGATAAAGAGCTGCTGTTGTCAGCTGTTATAAATAAGATGCACTACACAGTCCCTTACTGCATACTCAGATGGGCAGTTGAGTTCCTCACTATGGCAGTTCCTAGGTTCTATATGTGCATGGAAGCATGAATTGTGTGGCAAAGCCTACAGGTTTCTTTGAGCATTCTTAGAGATTGCTGCTGTTTTATATCTTAACCACTGGGTTCCAAGCACAGGAATTACTCATGTTTCTTTGGGTTTTCTTGTGTTATGCAATGGCTAAATTGCTAGAAGAAAACACAAAGCAGTCCAGTGTTTTTACTTTTTTCCTCTCATTTTTTGAAGGGAATTTTGTTGCATTTGTGAATTATATACTTAAGGTACCAATTTTACATTGCTAGTGTAGTAAACTACTCATGGACTAATTGGCCTGTTAGAAAGTGAGTGGGAGTTTCTGGGAACAGATGTTCTTTGGGGTTAGATGCTATATAGGTCAGATTTCCAACTGCTTGAGGAAGGAAAATGGGGCTTGGTAGGAGGCTTTTGTATTGGCACTAGGCAGCTTTTAACAGTGAACAGTGGGAAGGAAGGACTGAGCATGGCTGGGAACAAGGGATGCCTTTCAGTGAGCCATTCTTAAACTAATGCATTCAACAAATTTTGCTTAAAGTGTGAGAAACATCTCTCCCTAAGACATAGGATATAGAAAGTACTTTTTATATCCACTTCTTTGTCATATTTGGGTGTACAGGTACTTTTCATTTTCTCCCCAATTTTTTTTATTACTCTTTGTATTCTTTTTGAAAACTTTGGTTTCTCTCCTCATATTGATGTGATAATTTTGACTAAGATTAAAAAAAAATTCAATCTTTGATATCTGTCATATTTTAGAAGGTGGGCTACTATGGTATCTTCTTTTGCTCTGCTTTTGTGGAGTTCACAGTGCAATACCTATGGGTAGATTGCAAAACACAATACCTATGGGTAGATTGTGTTTCATTGAGATTGGGGCCTTCGTGTTCTTTGTGAAGAAGCCTTTACATTGAGTAAAAAAAAGTTTCCTACTTGGCTCATCTTACAGAGGGTGAGAACTATTATTTGTACAATGACTAATAGTGCAGTTGTTGCTTCTGGTGGAGAGTGATGGTGGAAGCAGGGAGATGGCATACTGACATCTAGAGCATTATGTACTTGGAGAGGAAGGAGTAGAAGCAGTTTTCCATTTGAGAACATTAGAGAGAGAAAATATGTTTTACTGAAGGGTCCTTCTGCCACTGACTTGAAATATTTAGAAGCAGAGATTTCAGTTGCTCTGTGGGAGGATCTTATTAAACAGTGTCATTAAGTGAAGACAGGATGGGTCACTTGTGGCTGTTCAGCCTGGAGAAGAGAAGGTTCTGTGAACGCTCTAGAGCCCTGTCCTGTATGTAAAGGGGCTACAAGAGAGCTGTAGAGGGACAGATGCATGTAGTGATAGGACAAGGGGGAATGGCTTTAAACTGAAAGAGGGCAGGTTTAGCTTGGATGTTAGGAAGAAACTCTTCCCTGTGAGAGTGGTGAGACACTGGAACAGGCTGCCCAAAGAAGCTGTGGATGCCCCTGTTCAAGGCCAGGTTAGATGAGCCTTTGAGCAACCTGGTGAAGCTGTCAGGAAAATTAATCCACAAAGACCAGAGGTTTATGTCCAAAAAGGAGACAGAGGAGTCCTGTAGCTTTATTAAAATAGAAGAAGTCATGGGGCATTCCCCATCAGGTCTCTCAAAATTTTTAGGGGACACAGCTTCCTTTTTATCCAATTTCCCGGCCACATTTTTCCTCTCTCTTTCCCCATTGGCTGAGGTACTTCAGAGGTACAGACTCCCTGAAACACCTAATACCTGTTTTTCTTTTTCCTTGTGTCTCTGTTATTTTTCTCTAAGTCCAGAGATTTAGCACAGTCTTGAGTGAGTAGCAGTCTGTCAATTAGTGGAATTCCTGCGGAATTTATGTTTTCCTCCCTTGCTTATTTCACCTCTCTGTATTTGGCCTTATCTACCCACACTTTGTTTGTAAAGACACTTCTCATTCCTTCAGTAGGGGTAGGTGTCCCTGCCTATGGCAAAGGGGTTGGAAGGAGAGCATCTCTGAGGTCCCTTCTAACCCGAACGGTTCTGTGGTTCTGTACGTGTAGCAAGTGAAGACTTAAAATGATTGCTCAGTGCTGCTTACACAGCTGTTACTGTGAGTGTAGTCCTAGGTGCTGCAGTAAAGCTAAATATACCTAGACTGGGAAAAGGAGGGAATCAGAGTCTTTTCCAGAGCATATAATAGAGATTTGGTTACTGACATAATACTACATTTCTATGTTAAGGTTCACAGTATGCTGTGCTGATAATTCCTGCATGCAGAAGGGGTAGAAAATAATTTCCTCTTAAGTAATCAATACTATAAAAGAGCAAAAATTACTCGAAGGATACTACTTGGTATTGCTTCATACTTTTATTTTTATTTCATGTTCACACTGAATGGCAATGTCCTTGTTAATAAGAAAGATGGCATTTAAAAGTTATCTCAAAAACACTCTTGAGAGGAATATATAAAAGCTTTTTAAATTCAGGTAGATATATATTTTTTGAAATACTGCTGCTTAGAACTATTTCGATGTGGTTTAGAATTTGTCTTTTTTGAAAGAAATGGGAATCGGTAATTTCTGTATGTACATACACCCTTCTTCCACATAAGAATTTGGATTTTTTTCATCCTAAGGTTCTGTAATAACTATGCCACTTGAAGATTAATTTCCTTTCTCCTTCAATTCTATTGTTAATTGTTACAATGAAATAGAATATTTGGGGGAAAAAAACTATTGCTATTTTTTTAATCACTTCTAATTGTTATACATTTATAAGTAATGTTTCTTGGCTCCCCACGTGCTTTTGGCACTTGACAGCCTCTTTAGAGTCCACGTGGTGGGATGAACATTGAAATAGTCCTGTGGAGTTTGTACCTACTGTTTCAGTGGTTACTGCATAGCCAGGTTTTAGCACTTGCTGATCAAAAGGGGATGCGATTAAGGCACTATTCCGTGCTCTGATGCACAGTGAGCTCCATCTTCTGTGTGTTATGCACGGTACTTGACACACACACAGGTAAAATACATCTTCTGGCTTGGAAATAATATTCTTAGGAAATCTTAAAAAATCTGTGATACTTTTCTTGGCTAGTTGATGTTTAAAAATAACCTTAAATAACTTTACTATCTCCGCAAGTTTAGTACTAAAAAGGATACACCTTTACAGTATCGGTGCGTGCTGCTAGTACGGCGTGGGCTCCTTCTATACTTAAGCAATTATCAGCGGCTGTAAGGGACGATGATTTCCCGCACAAGCCCCCAGGAGGTGGGAGCTGGCGCTGGCGCAGCTGCCCGGGGCTTCCCGCGAGCCCCGCTGTCGCTGGCAAGTTCACACCCAGCTCGCGTCCCTGCCGTGCCCGCGGGCCGCGAGGCCGGGGCAGCCCCGGGACGGACCCGGCCCCGCTCCCGCTCCCGGAGCCGCGGCGGCGGGCGGGACCCGGGCGGGGCCCCGGCGCCGTGCCCGCCCCTCGCCGGCGGGCGCAGGCGTGCAGCGCGGCCGCGCTCTCGCGAGGCGCTCGGGACCGCCGCGGAGGCGCGGGCCGGGCCGTGGCGGGCCGGGAGAGCCGAGCCGAGGTGAGGAGGAGGAGGAGGGTGCGGAGGATGTGCGGGTGCGGCGGGGCAGCGGCAGCTCCGGGCTCCGCGGCGCTGAGGCGGCGGCGCCGGGCCGCGCCGAGGGGCGGGGCGGGCCTGCCCTGACCTTGCGGGTCGGTCACGGCGGGGCCGGGCCGGGCCGGGCCGGGCGGAGGGAGCCGCTGCCCTTCTCGGCCTGCGGGCACAGCCCCCGACAGGGACCGTGCGGAGCGGCTGGGCAGGAGCTCGGGCAGCGCGGCTTGCGTTTCTGTGGGGGCTGGAAGCTTGTTACTTAAACCGATTTTTTCAATTAATTTTTTAAATTTGTGGTGCAGCACTGCACCTGCACTTGGCGTTCACCTTAATAAATAGCCAGTGTAGTTTTGTGCTACAAATATTTGTTTTCTTTTTCTTTAGAAATTTGATGGTAAAAGGCCCGACGTGCAGAGGCCATGGGTTTGTCCGCATCCTCCCCGGCTGCTACAGAGCAGTCACCAAATGCATCCAGGCAGTACCAGGCGGCGTCTCCACCTTCAGAATGTCCCATGCATCAGGAAAAAATGAGCGGTAATCATTCTTGAAATTAAATGAGCTAAACTCTACATGGAAACAAGACTGAAAAATCTTGCGGGGGGTGGGTGGGAGAAATTCTTCAAATAAACTTGAGATTTTTGTTTAACAAAAGTCATTCTCAAGTAAATTTTCCTTAGGAGGAGTCAATTGTTCACCAGAACACTGTGCAAGCTGCTTTGCTTGTAAAGACAGGAGGTGCTTCCTGTAGAACCTGTGGGGCACTTCCAGTTGTCCCCTTTCACAGGAGCCCTACAAATCTGTTCCGTGGGGTGGTACAGCCACAGAGAGTCAGGGAGCCCCTATGGACATGGTGACGGGTTGACTGGCTGCCGCTAAAAACCACTCATCTGGAAAAGGGCTGCAGAAGGGTGGAATGAGATGAATGTCTGGAGGAGGACATCAGCTCTTCTGTTGGCTCAGTCAAGACACTGGGTCGGCTTCCCTGAGGAAATCTTAAGTGCAAACAGTTCAGTATTGAGACCGGGATGGGGGTAGGAAATGATCATTCAAAAACTACACAGGAAACTCAGATCTTATCATGATTTTGGGTCCTGAAATGCAGGAAAGAGAGCAGTTAAAACTGCTGAAAAGCTCAGAAGAGTGAAATACCCATTTGCATTTCTATGAGCCTTCAATGAACTTTTCCATTTCATGTATTAGAGTTTTCATCTTGTAGCAAAATGTATACTGCTGTTTTGTTTAAGGTTGTCCAATGCACATGAAGACTGCTGATCATAGAACTGAGAACACAGATGATGTTCCTGCACATCAAGAAAGAGCTTATGAGTTTGTAGCATGTCCTGTGAAGTCTGGTGCATCTCAAATGAAAGATGACATAGATCCCAGCAATATGGTAACTTGCTTATTTCACATGTTTTCTTTAGTCTTCTTTCTTCTGAAGTCTTATACCCAGAAATGTAAATAGTTTACTGTGTAAGCTGGAAACTCTGGGAAATAACATTATTTTATATTTTTAAGACTGCTTTTTCTCATTTTTGTGCAAATTTTTATTTAAAAACTAGTTGCATCTTCTTTAACATTGTATTAAAATTTACATCTGTGGTGGTTTTCCTGTTTTTAAATATCTTTTGCTCTCTACTTACTAGTTACATAAATGTTTTTTATGATACATTGTTGGATTTTAGTTTCTGTGTAATACCAGTATGGTTGAGTTCTGATTAGCATCTCCAAGATTTCCTCTGATTTACAAAAAGCATTGCTCTTTTGAAAATTGAAGTTTAGGCAGAAAGCTTTCCCGTGGTCTCCTGATGACAAGCTTGTGCAGAGTTCTGCTTCAAAAAAATATAATATTGGTGGAATTAAATAAAGGCTGTACTTCTTGATCTTTGTAGGAGTTGATGGATCATGCTTTGATTTTTCTCAAATACTGTAACTTACCAAAATGTTAATACTCTCGTTTGTTGTTGGTTCTCCTTGTTCTCTAGATGCCTCCTCCCAATCAGCAGCCATCTCCAGGTCAGCCATTTCCATTGTCAACTGTTAGAGAAGAATCTTCCATTCCTAGAGCAAATTCTGACAAGAAATGGGTCTACCCTTCAGAGCAAATGTTCTGGAATGCTATGTTAAGAAAAGGGTAAATACACTGTGAATTATCAGATGTGTCTGTGAACCTAGAATTCATGAACTAGTATCATTAGTTATTGGTGGTTTTGTTTTGGTGTTTTTTTTTTCTTTTGAGTTTGTCAATTTTAACCAGTAAATAATGAAGTAGCTCTTTTTAAAAAGTACTATTCTTATAAACATCTTAATATTTTAAAGGGTGAGTTGGTCTCAAAAGGCCATGTGTCTTCTAGTGATCAAGAGGATGGTAAAAAATGTCAAGCAACTGCTACTGGCTCAGACAATTTTCTTCCAAGTCCATGCACAGGTGTAGACAAAGTTTGCATGATTGCCAGCTTTCATCTAACTTCGCTAAAGCCAAAAATGGGGAAATTTACAGGTAGACATTTATATTTACAAAAATTTAGTGTAGGCAAGACTAAAAATCCTCCTGTGATGATATTGCCTTGTTCTTGTGTAATGATCTGTTTGTCATTCTCAAACAGGTGAACTTTACAGGTAGTTTACTTTTGGAGGAATAAGTTATTATTTTTTCTATATGTCAGTGTGGTTCATTAACACAATATGACATAAGCAGGCTGTATGGAACATACAAGTTTGGCTCCTGTAAACACTGAAATGTGTTAATGTTATGCCAGTTCATAAGGAAGCACACATGCAGTCAAAATGCAGTGTCAGGAGAGATGGAAAGTATTTCTATGTGTTTGCACAATGTATTGAATACAGGACTTCTGTGCATTAGGAATGCATGTGGGATTTTTCATAAGCATTTTTTATGAATACTGTGGATGTGGTGATGTTTGCACACTGTGATAACTTTCTGATCCAGTTAAGCTGTTAATTTGGCTATGTAGAATTTGTGAATTCTGTGATGATATATTGGATAACCACACTTCTGCACAGAAAATGAAGTGCTTCTCAAGATGCTTAAGCAGATGAGCCAGAAGTTTGCATACTTGTCTTGTGTCTTGCATACAACCATAAATCTTGATTAGAAAGTTCATCAGATAAAGCTAGGAGGGTAGAGTCGTTATGCTGTAAGTTTATAAACTATTTTCAAGTTCTTATTTTTTAGGTGGAGGTGGAAAGATGATGACATAACAAGTGAAGACATGACCAACATTATTAAGATTCATAATCAAAATAATGAGCAAGCTTGGAAGGAGATTTTGAAGTGGGAAGCTCTACATGCTGTGTATGTACCTGTGAAATGTTGCATATGGAATATTTGTTATGACAAAGATATGAGTTGTAAACTTAGATCAGCATGACTGGTGTAAAGCAGACTGTCACTTTTTAGATCAGCATAGTCCCTGTTCCTGCAGGACACAGACTAGTTAAGCATTTGGTATTACAAATTTTTCTCTGAAATTCCATGATCGTTTTTACACAGTAGTTTGGATTATGGTTTTCTATTCTATAATGTATTAAATCTGTGGATTAGATTTGCAGAGAACTGCTTTGTTGACAAATTGGAACAATAGTGTGGAGCATATCAGAGATATTTTATAATACCAGCAGTAAGTGCTGACAGAAAGTGGGTGACTTTTCAAAGCTTTGAAAAAAGGAAAAAAAATTGGGTTATATCACTTGTAATTAATTTTTTACTGTTGCTTTCTTCTACTCAGTTTCTTTGTTGCTAAAACAAATGACCATAGTGGTTTAATCATTGAAAATAAGACTGTTAACATGTAAAAACTATTTTCCTTTTGAATTGTGTGCACAGGGAATGTCCATGTGGGCCATCACTGATGCGGTTTGGAGGCAAAGCAAAGGAGTACTCGCCAAGAGCCAGAATACGTTCATGGATGGGGTACGTGGGCAGGAAAAAAGGTCTTTCAGTGGGATGGGAGGCTGGAGAAATGCGTCTGAAAACATGGTGTGGAATTAATTTAAACATGTTTCAGACCTGGTATTGCAAGTTAGAATTGCCTGAAGATAGAAGTACTAGTGAGATCTTATGGACAAATAACTCTTGAATTGGACTCCCTCTCCCAGGTTCATAATATCCATTAAAATACCTCCATGGGCTGTTCCCTGTCCTGCCCAGGTACGAGCTGCCCTTTGATCGGCACGACTGGATCGTTGACCGCTGTGGGAAGGAGGTGCGCTACGTCATCGATTACTACGACGGCGGAGCAGTGGACAAGAACTACCAGTTCACCATCCTGGACGTGCGCCCTGCGCTGGACTCGCTCTCGGCCGTCTGGGACAGAGTGAAGGTGGCCTGGTGGCGCTGGACTTCCTAACTGCCCCTGTGGTGTGTACTTGAAAAGTAACCACTTTCCTCCTAGACAATGGACGTGTGGATACCAGGACTTGAGACAGAAGTTCACTGCAGCTGTCATTGCTGTCATCATCGCTGCTGTTCTCTGGGGGTGGGAAGGGAGGACAGGGAAATTTCTCCGTAAGTACACCAATGATTTGTGGTGTTTCAAATGGAATAATAAAGTTACAGTGGCAAAAACACGTATCTTAATTTTCTTAAGAACTGGGAAGCCTTTCGTACTTTGTCTCAGATTCTGCATAAGCTTGCCTTCTTTTCATTTCATGACTTTCAGTGCTGCTCCAAATACATTGCAATTCTGATTCTGACTGGAGTTTTGAGTATTATGATTATTGAAAACTGGAAATTTCATAAATTATTTCATATATTTAAAGTAGTTGGATACCTCCATGCTGAATAAAGGGTAAAAGGTCTGGACGCTTTCAAATTACGTGTTTTATTTACATAACAAAACCATGTATTTGTTTTCATATGGACATTTTACCTATTCAAATACATACTTTCTCAGAAAACTTCAGCTAATCAGTTAAAGGAGGTGTAGTGTGATATGAGTATTTTAAAGGTATGTTATGTAGAAAAGGAGAATATGCTCATGCCTTAATCTGCAATTTTTCTTTGAACTGAAGATCACCTGTTAGAAGCAGGAAATGAGTATCACTTTTAAAACAGCCTTTCTAAAAGGACAAAATTTTTATTTAATGGCTATTTATTTGAATATTTAAGAAGTGGTTTTCTGTTGTAAGTAAATGCATTATTACAGCATTTTCATGTCCTTAATATGTGTCATGTAATGAATTTGGGACAGAGCTAAACCTTAGTTAAAGAACCTACTGCAACACATCTGCATTTGGCATCCTGGTTGCATTAATGATATTTATCACAGCATGATTTTTTATATCATAAGGAATTGCACAAGGGGGTATGACTAGACAGCCACACGTGAGTATAGGGAGGTGTATTACAGGTGTGTATGCAACTGGGCTAAAAGGGTATCAAAAGGGCCAAGGGAGGTTGATTGGAGTGTTTTCTAAGGGCGATGCATGGCGTAAAGATTTGATTATTGTTTGTGCTTAGTTAGGGAAACGAATTTTTTAAAGTCTTATAATAGCTTTTAAGTTTGCACGACTCAGTAAATTTCAGGTGCTATGCAAAACACTTGGGAATGGAAGGGAGTAAGAGAACAGCACAGTGTAGCTTCTCAAATTGGTGGAAGCTGCCTTCTTGAAACTCCCCAACCTTAACAGGAAAGTAGCTGTGCATTTCATTTTCTGAAAGTGGCCTATGTTTAACCAACATTGGAACTTTCCCTTTCCCTTTCCTCTTTTGATAGGAAGTCCCTTCTAATATTTCAGGAAAGTCACTTCCTATTTAGGGAAAAATTAGTCAGAGAAGCTTTCCTACTTTAGAATTCTAATGATCATGAATAGTTCCCACTTCAGAGACAACTGTTGTGCATGGTAGGAATAAATATTATCCAGAATCTTAAGAGGAAGACCACACTCTTATCCATATCCACTTTGCTTATTCCTTTTTCCCATTTTCAGTGATTCAGATATATCTATATATCTATATCTATATCTATATCTATATCTATATATATATATATATATGATAGAGAAGATAAAAATTTTATCTAAATAGGCAATGTATGGATGAGATAAAAGAAAAGAGCGTTTGTATGAAGCAAATGAAGGAACTGCTCTGTTCTAACAGTAAAGATTGAGGAGTACTCTTTTTCGGGTGGTGGGTTGTCTTCCTTCGGGATTTTTTTGGTATTTGTTTATGTATTTGGCAACTTGCTACACTGAGGATTCTGTATTTGTAATAAGTAAATATGGAAAGGCTACACCACTGCAGGGAGTACTTCAGAAGCTTCAAAAGCAGGAGTTTGCTTTGTTGATTTTGGCAGTGTGATGTTGAGAGCATGGAAATCGTAATTGCTGCTAAATCTGGGGAAACTGTCACAAGCCACTTCATGTGTTCACTATCTCCTGTTACGTTCCATCTACCACAGATTCAAAATTGTTCTTCTCTGTGCTGCTGTTAATGAAAAGTAATACTTTGTCATCAAACTAAAAGGAGAATCAAATAAATAAACTTTTCTTAACTTTGGTATTTAGTAATCATGCTTTTAGCTGTAAGAATTATTAAAATGAGCTTTTGCATTGTCATTTGAGATTCTAGTCTGTTATAACTAAAATCTTGCTATAGAGTATATATTTGATATTGTTACTATGTATTATGGTATATTTCTACAATTTACCTGTTGTCACATCTTGAATATATTACTCATTTTTCAGGTGAATAGAAAACCAAAATCCAAGGACTAAATTCAAGTGTTTGCTAACTGAGACAGCAGTTTTCAGAATAAGAGCATATGACAAAAAATACATTCATCCTGAGTCTGGCTAACTTGAGAGGAATGAAAGGAAATTTAAAGAAAAATTCCTAGAAGACTAAATGATAATAATTAATTTCTACAAGCAGTAAGACTTAAGGAAGTAAATGGAGTTTTCTTCTTTAGGCTTGGGTTTCTTGATGCATGATGCATAGATGTTAGAATTAAAATTATTTTAATTCCAGTGTAAATTTAAAAAAATGGTGATTTAAATTCGCCTTTTTTTAATCCTTAGGAAGGATGTTTTAACTGAAAAACTATTGTTCAGGCTATATTAAAAGAAATGTGTGTATATGCATAAATACATACATTTATATCCTTTCTTTGCAAGTATAGGAAGGTATGGAGAGTTCATGGAGCCCAAGAAAGTGAAGAAGTATCCTGATCAAGTCCTGTCCGGGAATTCTGCAGTGACGCCAGCTTCCCAATCCTGGTCAGGCTGAAACAGAATTTTGGAACCCATCCTAAACTAAGGTTAACCTTGTGCACATTCCAAAGGGAAAATGCAGACACTCACTAAAGAATGGCTGCTTCTATAATGAGTTCTGTATTTAGATATCAAAAGTTCACCTATGCTTTGCTTTACTGTATCAAAGCCCTACTTGACCTATTGTGTTTTGACTCTTGCAGATGAAACAAGTTAGGGTTGCCCTCCTGGCCTGCCCTGAAGATGTGTTGAGGATGTTGCAGTGCCCGGAAACTGCACTCTCTGGGACTGGTGGAAAAGGACTCCAGCATAACGTTCCCAGCTGTAATCATGCAGTCAGGGGCTGTTCTGACCTTGATTTCCTGGAGCAGGAAGCCATCCTGCGTTCAGGTACGGACGGGGTTTGGGGTTTGGCCGCTTTCGGTCGTGTCGCTTCAGGCTGCAGTGGCTCCCCTGCCCTGGGGTCCTGGCACTGCTGCTCTGCCTCCAACACCCTCCCTGCTCAGCCACAAGGGACCAGCTCTCTGCTTTTCTGCAGTTTGTCCTGTTTGTATCTGGCCAACAAGAGTGCTCTGTAACTGGTGAGTAATTCAGCGGCTGACCTCTCTGGGATGCCTGGAATTCCTGACTCTTGAGTCATCCTGCATTTTGCCCTTGGAGGCAGTTTGTAGCTCTTCTCTCAGTCTTAATTTATTTTTTTTCCCCTGTCCCCTAGAAACAAACACCTTTGCTCCTTCCTTTCATACTATGTCCGTGGTCCAACTTTCATTCCCTCTAAGAATTTTTCAGCTAAGCCTTAAAATTTCTGCCCTGCTTTGCTGTAAAAGAAACTGTGTTGCTGTAAGAAGATAGTTGTGTCCATCTTCATTATTGCTACTTTCTACTGCCAAAGCAAACTGTTCTGGATTACCGCTTTTGAATTACGAGGTGAAAGAGCCATGCTAGTTTAGTGTGAAATTCTGTCTAGTGTTTACATAATTTATTTACCATCAGGACTTTAATGTGCTCTGTAAATTTGGAGTCGCAAATGCACTAATGAATACTGTTCTGCTTTCAAAAGGTGTGAGAGTGACAAAGGACCTCTCAGTGCTCTGAAAATGATCATAAATAGTCTGTCATCTTATGCACTCCCATTGTGTTTGTTCTGCTCTTGTATCAAAGTGCAGGGGAAGAGGAGCTAATGTGCCAAATTGCAGAAGATGAAGGCAGATATGTTGCTGTAGCTCACAGCTAAAAATGAACTGTCAGACTAAGAAGTACTTCCTAATATTTGGACTTCTACTAAAGTTTGTTTGTTTTTTATAGAGGGTAGAAATGCCTCTTTCAGAGCCATCACTTTAAAGACTTCTGTTCCCAGCACTGACTAAATTATATGGCATGCTAATTCTCTGTCTCCTTTGCTTACACCTGGAGGAGAAGCCATGTGTAGTAAGTTTCCACAAGCCAATTTACTTGATGTGAAAGCTGAACATTTTGAGACTAGAATATAGTACTCGATGCTAGATGTGCTTATCTCTTCAGTATCATACCCTTCCCTACCCACAAGTATCTTTACATATGTTATTTAAAAAAATGCACAGGATTGCTAGCTTTTTACAGATTTTTAGTAGGCAACTTCATCCATTTTTACTCTTACTGAAAGAAAACGTATTCTGTTTATCATTCTCCTCTGTACAAGGTCAATTACATGCAAAGATATTTATGCAGTGATTCAAGTAAGTATTGATTCTCTCATCAGTGGAATCTGTGGTCATATTAGACATGTCAGGTCATAAAAAGCAACCATTTTAGTTTGCATTAGATGGCTAATTGCTTTTATGTGCTTCTCCTTCAAGAAAAAATGGCTTGTCAAACTCCTAATGGAATAATCTTATATTTTTTTATGAATGTGATAGTTACATTATTTGGTCTTACTATTTGTACATCACATTGCGTAGAAACTTCTGGGCAGAGTACTGGACTGCAGACCTTATTGTGGGGCCTTGGCCATGTGTGAAATGACATGTTGTTACCAGGGAGCCACGGATTCCAGTGGCAGCTCCCCACAATAGGGGTCTGCCTATTTGCAGTGTGGGTACATACTTTTGACTGGAGTCAGAATTAATCCAATTTTCAAAGGATTATGTAAATTTATTGGAAGTTATTAGGATAGTTATTAGGCTTCATTAAGAAAATTTAAAAGATTAGATTATTTCTGTTGCTGATTTTCAGTTTGGACCATGGCCTCTATCATAAAATAGAAACCATCACATTTGTTTTCTACATATTATGGGGGGGAAAAAAAAAGACTGTAATGTTTTTTGTTTTCCAGTGTTATGCCAATTTTGTGGTAACTACAGAAAGTTTTAGCTATTTTGCTAACGTGCTGCTGTTCTTGCCTCCAGCTTCTGAAGACTATGACCCCATAAACCTCCTGTCTGCAGAGATAGCTAATGCTTTAATTGATCATTAGTACACTTTCAAAATGAGTTTCCATCTGCCAAAAGATTAAGTGTCTCAGGGAATTGACTGAGAGCAGTTTGATGCATGGAGGATAAATGCAAGTGCCTTTAAAAAGCACTGCTAGATCACAAATCCTTGAAAAACTTGGTTCTAAAATACTTAAAAGGAAAAGTAATAGCAAAGGTTTTTCCTCTGCTTTGTTTTTCCCTCAAATTAAGTATTTTTTTATATATCACTGAGAATTTGTTGCCTCATTTTCAAGAACTGAAAAGCAAAACCTCATGAAAATGCTGAATTTAACCTTAGAGCAAAGCCTGCAATTTTTGGCAGCTTTAATTTGCAATGTAAATTTTTTGTTAAATGAGTTTATTTCAACTGTAAAAAAACACAGGAGAAAAAAAAAAAAGAAAACTTTTCCACTAGCTGTACTTAAGAATACTAGGAGAAAAATACTTCTCTGTTTTATCATGTATTTTCACATTTACTGGGATTGCTTCTCTTTCTGTTTCCTTCAAGATTTTACCTTAGTTTATTTGGAGACATTTTTACAAGTTTCCTGTTGGTTTCTCTCTGCCATTTTTTGTACAAGCTGCTTTGGGTAAGACTTCGACCACTGCAGTAACACTTACAGTTGTTTTTAGAGAAATGGTAGCTTCTTTCTCAGGTCTCTGGAAAAGCATTGCTATTAACTTGGGTAAGGACAGTTCTGACAATGCCATTCTGGCTGCATTAGAGCTGGCAGCAGTGTGGTATCAGAAAATAGGGGCACTGCAGCTGTCCTGCAGCAGTGACAAAAGGCAGAGGTGGTCAGCTGTCACCTTCCTGTGGTTATGGGTTCCTCATTCCTCATGTGGTCTTGTCCATTCCAAATGGGCACCTGCAGTGACTTTAGACTTCCTAGTGTCCTTAAATGCCTTCTGCAGTATGTGCTTTTAGCACTGCCTGCAGTTACGATCGAGGAGGTGGCAAAGGGCCTGGCATGGAACTGATGGTAAAAAGATACAGATGGATATTCCAAATTTACTTTTTTCCAAATGTCTGTCTACTCTTCCTCTGATTTGCCACTCAGGTTACGGCAAAACTGGTCTAAATGCACCATTTTGTGTATATTCACTAGTGGTTGTTGAAACAACACCCAATTGAGGCTGTAATTACAGTGAGTGGAAGGCAAAGGATACTGCTTTTGCAAATAACCCTTATTTGATTAATAAGATTAATCTAACCTATGTACGAAGGGTTGCAATCTGTTTGTCTTGTCAGGCAAAGTGGAAGATACTGGTGGCACAATTGTTCTGTGACAGGATCTTGGAGCTGGTTTAATATAGGCTGACTAAAAAGTGAAACTTTTTTTTAAACTTTATTTGCCACATGTTGATGGGGAAGTATCCATTTAGAGAATATGGCTAAAATTCTATCAAACACTTCAATGCTTGAAGAAATAAAGAGGGGAAATAAGATCTTGACTTTCAATTTTATAATAATGCAATATGAAGGCCAGATTGTAACTGTAGATGTTCATTTCAAATTTAAATATTTAGCATTTTCAGTTGTCTGTGAATACATGAAAATTTATTACATTAAGATGGAATTTAGATCTTTGACATGAAGCTGATATTTTCATAGAGTGAAAAATATCAAGCTGACATTATACTGTCTCATTTGATGACTTCCAAATGTCAGAGTGCAGTAACTTATTCATAGGGACCACCATGTCTTGTGATAGTGTCAATTCAAAAGACATTTACATCGACTTTTTTATTTAAACAGGTAAAATGGAATATGTAGAGTGGCAGAGGAGAAGGGGGAAAGACCAGGGCAAGGAAGTTCTTAATAATGGAATGGAGGCACTTCTAAGGCTAATTTCCACCACAGCCTTCTTCCTGACAGCAGCCTGGCTGTGCTGCTCCCTCCCAGCATCTTCCTCCTCCCCTGCTCAGCCCGCTCTTAGTTCTTGTCATTTCAACACAACTTAGGGGGTTAGAAATAGCAGGATATACTCTCCTAAGAAGTACCCCCTCCTCCCCTCACCCCCGCCAGCCCTTGCTTTTAAAAGTGATTTTGTAATAATGGGACATACTGGATGATTTTGCCTGGGAGTTTATATGCCTATATAACTTAGATCAAAATTACAATGTGCTTATATAGCTTGAGTTACAAGATACCAGTATAGCCTGATGTATCTATATAACCTGATATCAATATAACTTAAAGAATGACTTTTTATATATCTATATAACCTGACATCTAGATAACCTGAATCAGTTTTTTATACCTATATAACCTGATATAAATAACTTTTTATACAATGTAATATCTAGTATATGGTTAACTAGTTGCTTAATGCTGAATAGACAAAAAAGAAGAAAAAACTCACCAGGTGGATAGCTTCAGAGATAGGTAAGTATAGTACTAATGAAAAATTGGCAAATGCAAAGCCAATTAGCCACAAAACAAAGAATTTAGGCCAGTCAAGACCAGACAGACCAAGGAACACTGTAACTGCGCATGCTCCAAAGACAAAGTTGAAAAGTTCAGATGTGAAGACCTTGGAAGCCTTCGTCAAAGACTTCCAATGAGCCCCGAACTGAGGAGGCACAAGCCTCTCTAATGGTCTAATAACCATGAGATCACACTATGTAATGTATGGCGCCTATATGATGCTGTAGTGACACAGCAACACTAAGCACCAGTTCCTGTATAAACGTACCACAGCATGTGACAAAGGTGGGTCAGCAGGTAAAGATTCCCCCTCACCACCAGGCCGCTGTGAACAAATACCAGCTCTGTAGACATTGCTCTGTGAGGATTTATTTCCCGCCTATCTTTCAGGCATCATAATGGTACTGTTGGCACAGCGCTCCACACCTTGGGGCAGGGACAGGGACACGGGCACAGGGACAGGGCAGAGGGGCACCGGCACAGGGACACGGGCACAGGGACACGGGCACAGGGACACGGGCACACGGACACCGGCACAGGGCGCAGGCACAGGGACACGGGCACAGGAACACCGGCACAGGGACACCGGCACAGGGCGCAGGCACGGGGACACGGGCACAGGGACACCGGCACAGGGACACGGGCACAGGGCGCAGCCAGCGGCCCGCGCGGAGCCGCCATTTTGTTCTCCTCCCTGCGGCGCGTCGGGCCGGGGCGCCCCCTGGCGGTGCAGGCCCCGCGGCCGGCAGGGGGCGCGGCGGCGCGCGCCGGCGGCCATGTCGGAGCTGGCGCGGGAGGAGCTGTCGGCGCTCGCCGCCATCTACTGCGAGCCGGGCGCCTGCGAGGTGCTGGCGGCCTCAGGTGATGCGGCCGCGCTCCCTGTCCCCAGCCCGGGCTCTCCGGGCCCGACCGGGGCCCTGGGGGACGCGCTCGGGGCCGCTCCCGGCGGGGCTCAGCACGGGCTTGCCGCGGTGCCCGCCCCGCCGGTGTCTGCGCTGGGCGCCTCGCTTGGGGCGCGGGGCCCGCGGGCCCGGCTCGGTTCTGGGCAGGGACCTGCTCGGGGCCTGGGGCCGAGCCTGGGGCAGCGCTGGGAGCGCTGGCTGCTCTCTGGGCAGATAAGCAGGTGAAGCTTGTTAACGAGACCGTGTATTTGTCTGGCAATACTGAGTAGGGTACAGCTGTTGCAGTGCATGAGAAACATTGGGTTATCTCTGTATTTTTCTGGGTAAGCTGACTACCTGGGCACTGTGATGTGCCAGATGTGACTCCTGCTTCAGCCAGATGTGTACGGCTGTAGGTTTTACAGGGTGCCCAGGCTGCTGTGCCGTGTCTGCCGGGGTTTGTAGTACTGGCTCCCATCAGCTGCTGGATGCTGTAGGCAAGGAGTGCAGGGAGTGTAGATGCCTCGATGGTTTCTGCGCCACCTATGGTGACCACTGATCAGAACACAGTACTAAGAGATGTTTTTTTTCAGTCTGTGCAGTACAGCGTTGTGAAGATGCCCCTTCAGCATCAATCTCAGTAGTTCCAATGTACAATAGCAGCTCGGTGAGGTACCTTAAATGTCAGGTAGGATATGCAAGTGTTGGTGTCTAGATCCAGGCCATTCCTAAATTTTGTGCCTACCACAGAGGTGACAACTCGTAGATATTTTTTGGAGAGAGATACACATGCACATATACACACAGAGAAAGCCTGTATTGTGTACCGCAGGTCCCTGCTGTGTGGGAGCCCTTGCAGAGTTCTGCCCAGCACAGTGATGGACAGGGAGCAGCTTCCTGCTGGTTGGACGGCAGCGAAGTCCTGGGGAATGCTGCTAAAGATGCATGTAGGGGCCTGCTGTCAGATTTTGTCTGCATATGTACCTATTCAGCCCTAAAGAACTGGGGTTGGTAAGGTTGGTAAGGAGACTTTTTTTTTTACTGTGAGGGTGACTGAGTGCTGAGGGCTGCTGGGAGAAATTGTGGAGTCTCCCTCACTGGAGATACTCAGAATATGTGGGTATTGTCCTGGGCAGCTGTCCTGTTGTAGGTGACTGTGCTTGAGGGGAGAGTTTGGATGAAGGCATTAATGTCTGAAGAGAGCACAATTAACCACAGTAATCTAAACCCACCAATTTTGTATCTAGATACACATGACACACCTCCTGCTCCAGTGCAGGCATGTAATTCTGCCATTTAATTTTTTAATTGGTATTTAGGGTTGTATCTTTAAAATATGATTGATGAAATGTTTCAACTGAGCTTTATTTTTAAGTGAAAAATTCCAAGAATGTTATTTTGGGCTTAGTTTGAAAAAGAAGTATCCAGGCTTATCAGATGTTAATCTAAAAAAACGTGAGCATATCTGAACATTGCACATACACATCTGTTCCTCTAAATCTGTTGAGAAATACAGGCACATTCTTCTCTGTGCTTCATATATGGAAAAATGATTTTGTATTTATAAGTTACCGGAATCTAAAAGGTTTAAAACTCCTGCTGGACATAAAGTGAGGTGCCACAAGTGCACAATGGGAGTAGACTGTTTTATTTATATTGATGTTATGTGATCTTGGAGGGCCTTTAACCAGGCTGTATTCATGATATGGTAGGATCAGGTATATTTGATTGGTTTGCATAGTTTTCTACTGGAATTGAAAAGATTATTTTACAATAATGATTATTGGTATTTTTCTTATTCTTGGAATTTACTTGTTGGAGCTGCAGAATCTCTAGTCAGTATACAATTAACTTGTGCTCCAGTCATTAGATTACATTTGCTTTATCTCTTCAAACCATGTAAATTGTCATTGACCAAGGGTGCACAGACATAACTTCCAGGAGACTGTTATGTTATGCAATCTCTAAGACATTAAGAGTAATTTGTGTGTAGATCCATGGGATCAAAAAGGAGGCCACTGGGGATTTGTGGTTTTGAGGAATGTAAGAGAATGCTTTTACAGGTCTCTTGGTATGGTATAAACTTTGGTTTTTTGGAATTTAACAATGAAATATTCAGAATGTAAAATGTGTATTTATCAAAACCAATGTGTGGATGAATTTAAATAAACTAATTACAGCATATCTTTTTTACCTTACATATCTATTTGCAAAGATTAGTGTTACAGATATAAATCCATAATTTAATTGTTAATCTCTTTCTTTTGGTCTGTTCACCAAGCTTGTTATAAAAATATATTTAGATATTCTAAGCTTGTACATTAGTAGGTGCCATTTTCTGAATTTAAAAATAGACTGCATGTGTTGCATAAAATGCCTTTGGGCAGGAGAGGAGGGGGATATCTGTCTGGTTGACATGGAACATAAGAAAAAATCTGAAGTATGCTAGAGCTAAATATACTGATAAGCATGCTGCTATGGGGGGAAATGAGTTAAAATGTATTGAGTTTAGTCTGATTAGCACATTAAATGCCAGCAGAACAGTCATACCCAACCTTTTATTTCAGAAATAATCATCATGTTGCTGTGAAGACAACTCAGCCCTTGTAGCATGTGCAAACAAAGGAAATATTTCTTTGGAGCCAGGTTGCGCAGGGCGCCGGTGGTTTGCTCTTTGTTCTGCCAGTGTCTGCAGCGCTGGTGCAGAAAATGGACGCTGCAGGGTTTAAATAAACTTAGATGCTGCAGCCCTAAAAGGTTTTGAACTGATTCTTCTTTTTGAAAGTAAGTCTGAAGCAGATGTAAATGAGCACAGCTGGGCTTTTCCTGATGGCTCAGGGTGATACACCTTGGGATGCGAGGCTGTTCTGCCTCCTTCAGATTAGTTCATCGCAAGGAAAGGTGTGAGATTTTTGCACGTTTAAGAATAACATCACTGCAGCAGGAGGCCCTTGTCAGAGGGGCAGTGTTGGTCTGTCTGTCCCTCTGTTGCTTCTGAGTTGGTGAGATCTGTTGTGACAAGCTAGTGGAAAAATCCTGGGAGGATTATCAGAAAGGTAACATGTTTTTCTGTCACTGTCATTAAGCTGGTGATAGAGTAGTGTTTTTCAACTTATATAGGCTGTGCATTTTAAAATCTTGTGGCAACATAGTTTAAAACAAAGTGATTTGCAGGCAGGATTTCAGTAATGCTTGCCCTATTCAGACAGGTGCCCTCTGGCTGTGTAGCAGGTGGGGCTGCCCTGAGTGGGGGCAGCTGAGGGGCATGGGGCAGCAGCAGTGTCTGGTGCAATGGTTGTGTGTGCCAGGAGGCTGCTGGAAGCCCCAGGACATGCAGGGCAGGTTTGCTGCCTGTGTCTGTGATTATGTGTGCTGAGCCCAGCGTAATGGCAGAGGAGCTACAGCTGCTGGTGCCCAGGAAGAAACATTTGTCAGGGCAGCAGAAGACAGAAATTAGGAGTGGGAAGGCTTGAGGTCCTCCTCGGTAGCTACTGACCATGTGCAAAAGTCTTCTTCTGAGGCTGGTGTTTTTCTGAGAAATACATTTGTCTTAAAAGTAGTATGGAACCTTTGATAGGCACTTGGATGATAGAAGACAAACTCCTGTTGGCAGGAAATTACTCTTTTGGCATGTGGTGCCTATAAATATGGACATGGTTGGGTGTGATTTCATTGAATTCACTGGAATTGCATCTACTGCTTTCACCACTGGATTTGACTTGGAGACTTCATAGTACTGCTAGAATTTGATTTTTGTTGGAGGGTTTGCTGATTTTATTTTGTGACTTCTCTGACCTTGAGAGTTCTTTGTGTGACCCAGGAAGGAGGTTTGAAAACAAGACTTTGGATAAGCTCTCTAAAGTACTTCTATCTGTCCAAGTCACTTTTAAGTTCTTTTACTTTTTTAAGGTTTCAAATATGAAATAGTACATTTTATGTGAGAGGCACTTTGAGAGGTTGGTTAGTGGCATCAGTAATACTAATCAAACATAATTCATCTGACTGTCATGTAAAAGAAGGTAAGGTAAGGTAGAGGGGGAAGAGTGCAAGTCACTTCAAAAGACCTGCTCTGAAACTCAGCTCTCCTCTAATCTGCCTTTCAAATCTGGCTTCTCCTGCCCTCATAGAGTGAATCAACCTGACATTTTAGCAATTTTTGAAAGAAAAGGAGTGAAGTGTTTAGAATGCATCAAAGGGGTGAAGCAGAGAACATCTGAAGAAGATCATCTTTTGTCTGATTGATATCCTCTTACTTCATGGCAGAGGAGCGAAAATAGGTTAGGTCTTTGTCTGTGCTTTTCACTTGGTCAAGTTTTGTATTGTTTTTCTGTGAAACTTCTAGTTAAGAAAGCTTAATTTAATGAAATACTGTAAATAACTTTCATATTAAGCATCTTTCATTATATGAAGTATCATGATGATGTGATCTTCAGCCTTTCCTGCTATGTACTTAGTGTATCCTTTTCACTCTGAAAATAATTCTATTCTTCAGTAGACCTACAACAGATTTTGTGCAGCTATGACGACATAGAAACATACATTAATATGAGTACATGCATATTTATTATATATGTAGTATCTAGGGTCAGGCTTCTGACAGAGATGGTTTTCTTATGTCAGTCCAGCTGTTGTAGAGGAGTTGGCAGAAAAGATTTACGTGTATTTTCTCTGCAAGCTGGGGGGGGACAAAGGATCTGACTTCTTTCTTTCCAAGTCTTTGCTTAGTGTGGAACTGCTTTTGAGTGATTGTCTTAAAAAATACCTGGTGTAAGTCTGTTTGCCTTGCATTAGTATTGATGTTAGAAGTCTTACAGATTTCTTTAAGGGTAAACTTAGGGCAGTGCTGAGTCCATCCAGAAAAGTCACTCTTTTCAGTTGTCCTTGCTTTTGCTGTTGAGCTGTGGAAGCTGAGTTATGTGTTTGAGAGAGACAATTCTTTATTACTGGCTTGTCTAGACTTTGAAAGAGCCAAAAGGTGTGAATGCTTTTTAGAATGTGTTAATAACTTTTCTTCTACTATGTTATAGAAGTGTTTCATTTCAGGATTCCCTGCAGGTATAGCTTGAGCCATTGGTTGCAAGCTCCCACCCTGCAGGAAAAAAAAACCAAAAAAAACACCCCCTTTTATTTTATAGGAAATGTCAATTATTTGAGTTGAATTGTAAAAGAAAATAACATGATTTAATGATATATATGTATTTCAACTTCAAGCAAACTATTAAGGTTGGAGTTTTCTTTCTGTTTTCCAGAGATACATGGAATCTCATTTCGAATTCAAATCAGTGTGAAAGAAGTGCTGGATACAGATGTATGTTTAAAGCTGTTATTTCATTTACCAGTCAATTACCCATCAACTCTACCAGATATTTCTGTTAACTCAGACCAGCTTACAAGGGCCCAGTGCATGGATGTGAAAGAGAAATTACTTGAACAAGCAAAGAAGCATCTTTCTGAACCCATGGTACACGATCTGATTCTTTGGGTACAGCAGCATCTTAAAGAAGTCATTAAGCAATCAGCAGCAGTTTGCAATTAAAAAACTACTTTGTCAAAAGGAACAGAAGATGGTATCTGGATGCTTCTTTTGCATTTAGATCACATGAGAGCAAAGGCAAAATATGTGAAAACTGTGGAAAAATGGGCTTCAAATCTAAGGCTGACTGGAAGACTGATGTTCATGGGCAAGATAATATTGATTCTTCTTCAGGGTGACAGGAGCAGCATTAAGGTGCAGGAACAATGAATGCTGACTAGTTTTATCGATTTACCACTGAAACCTCCATGCCTGAATATTTTGTGTGTGTTTTTCTAAGATTAACAATTTTGGAAGCCAATTGATCATTATGAGAGTAGGAAGACCCAGCAACTTTATTCTGTATTTAAGAAAAAGAAAGTGTTCTATTCTGTCTACAGTGGTAGCTGTAGACCTGTGGCCTGTATTGCTTTGCTTCCCACTGGAATTATACCCTCATATCCCTTTGTTTCCTGACCTTAATATACCTAGATTCAGTTTTCTATATTTCCCAAATGCCCCAGGAAGTGGAAAAAATTTTGGTGAGGAATTAATAATAGGCATATTTCTAAATCATTACTAACGGTCTCTTTCCTTGACTTAAAACCACATGCTACTCCTAGTGCATGCCTGGGCTTTGAAATTCTTGTCTGTACGTACAAACTCCCACTGTCTTAGGTGGGTTTTTGTGGTGATGTTGGAGGAGAATGTTTTGGCTTTTTAACTCATGTTGTCTTAATCAGTTAGGCCTGCTTAGAACTGATGAATAGAAGCAGTTGTACACTTTTTGGCATGGCACTGTCAAAGTTTGATTGCTATGTTCTGAAAAAAAGACTACATTTTGAGTGAGCTTTTGCATTTTACTAAACTTTGGAAATACTAGGTGACATTTAATATTTTGGGATTTTTTGTCATTTAGGAGTACTTGATTCTTCAGAAAACTTCTAAGATAGATGTGGACTCAAGTGGAAAGAAATGCAAAGAGAAAATGATGAGAATACTTTGTGAGACAGAAGTACAGTCCCAGCATAAAAGGTATCATTTAGTACTGTTGTGCATAGAAAAGTAACAGAATCGATAATTACATTCTGACAAATCCAGGCATATTCATGAGTTTCCCTTTTACAATGTAGGTTTCAGACGTTTGAAGTCAAAGAATACTCGGCACCGGAGGAGCTACAAAAGGAATTTGAAACTGCAGGACTTACAACTATTTTCTCTGAGTTTGTGCCTCCTCTCTTAAAATAAAATTAAAAGAAACCACTGGACCTTTGACCAAAGCAGTAATTGACTGCAGATGCTGATGGAAGACAGAAGGACTAACGTGGCAAAACAATGTTGAAGCTTTTTTAAAAATTTTTTTTGCAAAAAATACCAGTAGTAGTCATCCTTTTGCAAGAAAAAGGCAATTAATACATTAAGAGCTGGTAATTTTTTGACATTTATGGCAAAAATCAATGTGATGTTGGTTGTTTTAATTGCATGGCAAGCATGAGAGACTGGGAAGAAATAATGCTAAAAAAATAGTCTTATAGTCAGACTCTGTTTTATAGTCTGTGTTTTTCAATGTTCTGTTTCTTCTCTCTCATGGTAGAATTTGTCAATAATGGCCTGTGAGAATGCATGATTAATTTTGTTTTGGAAGACTGTATGAAGATATTTCCATAAAAAACATAGCAAAACCACATTTGAATACGTGAGGACAGCATATACTTAATGTCCCTTAGGAGTTCATCTGCAAATTTTTTATTCTCCCTTTATTGACTACAAATACTAGATAGCTGATTTGAAGAAAAAGCTCATGTCACTTGAGGCCTGAAAAAAATTAGAAGTGTCTTTTAGAATGTTAGTTTTTATTTTAAAATTTGTAAAAACATCCACACGGAGGATTTAAATTGATAAAAAGCTGAGGTATAGCCAATTGTGTATTTTCTCTGATAGTTTACAGATGTCTTTTTGCACTTTATCTGGTTTTACTGTCTGTGCAGCTTCAGTTATCTTGATTCAATTAAACTGTTGGAGCAGTAAGTCTTTCATGTTGTCTTTCATGTTTACAGACTTCAGTCTTCCATCTTTCAAGGCTTCTGCCAAGTTGGTATTTTTGTTTATTTGGGTTTTTTTGGATTAGTTACTGGCGTTTTCCAACCTGTAATTTTTTAAATCAGTATTTTGTGTTTTACATCAGTATAGGTTTACCAATTATATGCATAATTTATGAATTGTGCAAATTGTACAAGTTCTGTTTACCTAAGGAAGATTGAATATTTTTTTATTACGATTATTAATGTGTGTCCTTTGGTTTCTATTTTACCTGAAACCATTCTCTAACAAGACTAGATAAATTATGCAGTAATAAAAATCTTGCAATCGCGATTTTCTTAGTAGCTAGCACTGCCATTTGCCATTTCAATTGGCTTTAGCATGTAGCATATGCTTTACTGCTCTCTAAAATTTTCAGAAGCGAAATGTCTCATGTATTCTGTAATTAAACAGATTTGATCAATTGAGTATAAACTAATTTATTTCCATTGTTCTGAGGGAAGACCGGTACTGTTTTTTTAGTTCCGAAAGTGTGGTTTGGCAAATAATTATGTAAGATCTGATTTCCTGTTTCATGCTCAGACCATGAGATCATACCTCTTCCTTTATATATTCTAGAAAAGCAACTAAAGCAGACTAGAAAGAGTTTTATATTTTACTGTTTGAATTATCAGATACATAAAGGGTTGTATATTGTTTGAAAGTTTTCTGAAGTTTTTCAGGAGTTTGGTGATTTTCCTAAGGCAGAGTGTCTCAAATATGTATGTTATTTTATGTACTGATGCAGATTTACTGAGATAGTTGCAAAGTTCTTCTTAGTGACTCATGTTTACTACATACAGTACTTCAGGCTCAGTAGAAAAGAGACTGAGTTGAACAGGTTTTACAAATCTGTTCTATATTATTTTAAAATTGCTTCTTGAGGGACAGGAAATCTAATTTTCTATCATTTTAAGTGCATGTGAAGATGAATTCTTACTTTTACAAAGAAGAACAAAACAGAAGTATCTTTAAAATATTGAAATAACATGTATTTTGAATTACAATTTCCAGAATCGAGCTATTCTCAGGTGTTGAAAAAATGTGTGTCAGTGCAGTATAAAGTTTTGAAAAGCTGCAAAGGGTCTCTCCTTATACTGTGTGACAGATCTGACAAATACCAAACTCAAGAAAAGCCCTATACATGTATAGCATAAGAAAACATAATCAGTATCTCTCTGCAAAACTAAATGTTGTAAGATTTCGCCAGATGCATTGTAGATTTGCAGACTTAGAAATCAGATTGAATGGCATTACCTACTCGTGTGATCTCAAAATGCATGCAACTTCAAAAATAATTGAGGCATAAGTTATTGTGCCTTTCTTGCAAGATTAGATGCAGATTTACTGAAGTTTTCCTCTCTACTAGAAAAGCCTTTTTTGGTGTCAGTGGCTGCCAGTTGCACTTGAATATAAGCCCATGTATTTTTTTGAGTTTTACTGCCTGATGCCTTCTTGGTCAACTGGTTGGCCAGAGCTGGCATTCTGCAACAGCCAGTTAAAAAGATAAAGTTACAATTGGGTAAGTTGCAGCTCTCTCATCTTCCTGCCAAATGAAGTTGTTGTAAGAAGCTGGACCGTTTCTTTGTTTCAGGAGTTGGAAAATGCAGTTTATACAATGGATTTTTACCATAGCTGAATTTGTTATTCACTAGCTCATACTGGACAAATCCACAAGTTCACTGTAGGAAAGGACTACAATTTATAGCTTGGTTTGATGTGCTTCAGGAGAATTACAACTCTGATCAGCTTGATACAGTTCAGACAGCAGAGAACATGAAAACTGATGTCAGTCTGATTCTGTTAAAGCAAATGCTTTTGCCTACCTATCAATCAGTTATTTTGAAGAGTAAGAGGATATCTTCTGCTCAGACAAGTAAACAATATTTTTAAAGGCTATTCTTTTGGAAGGATGTTGCAGCTGTCTGTTAACTGATGGTTTGTTTGCATTCATTGTAATAAGAGATGAGCTAGCCTGTGAGCCTCTGGGGCACAGAAGTCATCAGAATGGGCCCTGTGGTGCATGTTCTGCCTTCCAAGGGAGCTGAGGCAGACACAGAAGAACAAAATGCACAGATACAGAAGAACAGGAAGCAAGGAAAAAATGCATCATTGTGTAAAAAGTTAGTGAAGTGTATGTAACTATTGGAATCTGACAATTTAGTTGCAAGGAAGAAGAAATCCACAAATTAAAGGTAATTTAACAAATTAGAAGCTAGCTTTCTTGTGGATGTGGTGTTATAAATAGTTCTTCAAACAGCCTGGTCAGTAAAGCCTTGTTTTCTGTGACATTGCTAGTTTCTAAGCTATAGCACACATGAAGCCTTCCCTGCAGGAGATACATTCCTGATGGTGTTCTCCCAGGTGGGTTCCCCTGTGCCTGGTATTCATTGTGCATAAATTGATTATTTCTTGCATAAATCTTTAAAAGTATGAATAGCATTTTTTCACCTATTACCTTCTTCATCAAAGTCATTGGTACTTGGTTTCTTTCAGGTTGTTAACCTCATTTTAATTGAAATGACTTAAATTCAAAATTTCTAGGAACTCTGTAGTATAAACATGCTTGCTTCTGTATAGACAGCACAGATGTGTAACCATCATTTCTTTTTAAAATCAGGCTAAAATGAAACATGTTGTAATAGGAATGACAACTTAAAAAATCAAGTTTTTTAGGACAAAACTGAGGTTTGATTGGTCTTTTTGAATACCTTGGCTTATTATTGAAGAAAACTAAAAATAAATTGCGGAAACAAGAATGATCCAGAAGAGGGAAATAATGAGGGATATCATCAGTATTGGGAATTCACCTGGTTTTCATATTTAGTGTCAGTACTACCACCCCTTAATTTGTTATTTGATGTTATAGGGAGGACAGGACACTGTAAGAACTCATATATGAATATCCTTGACACAAATTAAAAATAACTGAAAGTAGATATTATTTTTTTGTGAATAAGGCTGATTTTTGTGGTTTTGTAGTTACATCTCATTTTCCTAGAGTAAGAGTATTTCTCTTTCTTTGGGTGTGAATGACCCACCAAAATCCACTGAAATGAGTATAAATTATATGCAGAGGTACTGTAATGAGCCTTAAGAAACTTCACAGTGGAAAAAATATTTTGTTCGCATTGTTTCTTTTAAAAATAGTTTAATAAACCCTACATACAGATGATTTAAAGCCTAGTGTCCCTTGATTTGTTCAGCTTTATCTGTGAAAATACAAACATAACCATGCTATAGTACATTTGAAATAAGATGATGAAATGTTGCACTCACGTATTTCTGCCAGAGTTTGAGACTGAAATTGCTTATATTATGAAATAGTGCAATTGCTGGAATCAACTTTAATATATCTTATAGTAGTACTAAGCATTGTCTTCCTGTCTTTTTGTGTATAACACATGTAACACTGGCAGCACTCTGCTATGGTGTTGTATTTTGTATGTATACTTAATTTTTTGTTATCTTATGCAAGAGTTATGATTGTTTATATTCTTAATTATAGACATAAATGGAACTTGGAATATAAATATGCTGATAGCATTTTGCAGCTATTGTTCTCTGCTATTTTCATGTATTGGCTTTTATATTAGTTTGTGTTGTCTGACTTCAAAGTATTAACCTGCAGTGAAGAGAACTCTTCAGGGTGACAGAAAAATTTGCCTAAAAGACATTAATTTAAGGAATTATTTGGACTCTAAAGATGAATCCTTTAATGTTTTGAGTTAATTATGCACTTGGATGCTTTAATTTTATGCTAATAAGGTAGCAACTGCTGCACTTTTGTATTTTCTTTGTATTTCTTAATGCACTACCAGTAATCAGTTTGTATCCTGTGTTACAACATAGCTGATCATGGAATTTGGGTCAATATTTTATTAGTATTTTCCATTATAAATATCTAGGATTCTTTATATGTATACATTATTGTCTATTATAACTTGAATGCAAAGCATTATTTTAGGATGAGACTCATTACAAAAGAGCTCTGCATGAGAACAATAACTCTACTTTATGCTGCTTTTCCTTTTGTCAACTTTTACATTCCTGCAGCTACGGGACGCTATCCAAGGATGAGAGTTGTCTGGAGCTGAGCTTAACAGGCCAACCCAGTGTGTTACACAAGATCTCGGTGCCAGCTGGGTGGAGCAGGGTGCAGGGTGCTCTGCAGGCCTTTGTGGGACCACTTTTGATAATGTCTAACGGCCACTGAAGGGATTAGCTGGATATTTCTTGAACTTCGTGTAGAGAATCAATGGAGTGAATTCCACCAATGCAGAACAGATGAGTGGTTGGCTGCTGCTTGATCTGAGCTTTACATCAAATGCCACGGAGGGTAATAAGCTGAAGTTTACACATATGCTAATCCCAGAGAACACTGCACAGCAAAATCAGTGCCACAATTTTAAGACTGAAGATAGTAAACTCAATGTACTTTGACCATTTTTTAGTTGTGCTTAGAAAAAAGACAAACAAAATTATTTTGTTAGTCTCGTGATCTGTTACTCATCTGTACAGAGGCAGGGTGCATTTTTATGGGAGATGGTGGTGCTATGACTACCTTTCAGCCAAGATACAATAAAAAACAGTTCTTTTTTTTGAAGTAAAATAACTGAGTTGCTTGTGAGAACACTGTCCACGTGAGGTACTGAACAGAAGCTGAGCTGTATGGATTGAGCTGTGCCAGAGGCTGATTTTTATTTGGTGGAAGTGGAGGTGTTAGAAAGGAACAGACGACAATAAAAACACTGGTGATGTGGCTCTCAGAGAAGCCAAAAGGAAGGGATTTTTGCATTGATTTCTCTCTGGAAAGATGTTTCAGAGTATGAGTAAAGAAGTTGCTACTGTATCTGAGCTTCAAGTAGAAATGTCTGAAATAAATATGCAGTTTCATTGTCATTTTCTCTTTTTAGCAGAACCAGCGTGTAGAACTGAGAACAAGTAGCGGAAGTTTTCACAAGTATAGAAATGACAAACCTCACTCAAGAGCTGTAGGCTGTCCATGGAGGAATTAGTGCAGTTCTTAGAAATTGTTCTCAAATGACTCAGAAATGACAGAGACTTTCTAGAGGCAACAAACTCCAAAAGTCTCATGGTTTAAAAACCAGGCTGTTGTGGCTCCAAGCGGTTGGGAAGATTGATGGAAGAGGTGACCAGCAGCTCCCAGAAGATTTTCTACAAAATTTGGGCATTCTGGAAAGCAAAGGCTAAGAGGGTTCACAAATCACTTTTGGGGAAAAAAGATTTTGCTTATTTGTGGAATTGGAGAATACAGGTAAGTGTTTAATTTTTACAAGACTTTTTCTACATTGATACTGTAGACACATGGTATAGAGATTTTAGATGGTCCTTGCTCAGATAGTATCTAATGTCTTGGGAACCTGATGTATTTCAGTTCCACATCAATTAAGAAGATTTTTGGGTGATATTGGTGGTCAGTGACATGAAAAGATTTAAGTACTGCAAACCTATTCTGGATCAAGGACTTGCTCTGGAATTGAGAAACAGCTTTTAAGTATGAATTAGACAAGGCACATCTAAGAAGAGCAAAAACAGGAGAGGAAGAAAACACTCCACTGAAATAGCTGCAAGAAATCCAGAAAGTCATGTTTGTGAGGTACTGGTGTGGCAAAGGAAAACTCAGGGTTACCCTTGCATTGACAAGGAACCAAATGCTGTAAACTCAGCTGGGTGCAAGGGTGTCAATCAGAATATCTGGGCTGTACAGTACTTGGCACAGTATGTGTGTCTTCTCTGCCAGCATTGCACCAGATTATTTTTTTCACCCTCTTTAATTTTTTAATTTATTTGAAGGCATGTGCAGGAGGGAGTTTGCTGTGAATTCTGTTCTTAGATACTACAGGTTTCCTTGAGAGTAATTTTCAAGAAGCAGGGGAATGCTTTTTAAAACAAATAAAGCAACAGAGATAAAATCTCAGGAGAAGCTGTTAATTTACATATTGGGACTGTGGAAAAAAAAAGATTTATCACAAGAAGAAGAGTCATAAAGCCAAGCGGGAGTAAAGATGTCCCCTCACTGGTCCAGAGTTGCCATCTCTCCGAGCTCTGGCAGAAGCTGATGTTAGTGCTTAGCAGAGGAGAGCAAGTATTTCTACTCAGTAGTGCCTGATGCTGGCACTAAAGAGCTTTTTGTGCTGGAAGATTGGGGACAGCTAAAGGAAAAGCTTGGAAGCACAGGCAGCATGCTGACAGTTTTTAGGGTCTCAGCTTTTGGACAGTCATGAAAGCTGAGCTACTCACTGTAACACTGTCAGGAATATCCACAGGAGCCCTGGTACTGCCTCTTATTTAACAGACCAAGTCTATTAGAAAAGGGAACAAAATTGAAATTTTGTAATCATTCCCAAAGAGAGGTGGTGATTGTAGAGGGTGAAGCTGTTCAGTACTGGAGAGCGCTGCTTTTTGAAAGCTGGATAGTTTTCAGCAGCTGGGGCAATGAAAAGCTAATCTGTGGGATTTTTTTTCGCATGGTTCTTAATAGGTGTGAAAAAGAGAAAAAATATTGATTATTGCTTATATAAATATGGATAGTTTTCTAGAAATTCATTGCTAAGTTGGAACAAATGAATTGTGGATAATTGTTTATCAGCAAAAATTTTCTTACTTTAGGTAGACTGTGAGAGTTCTAAAACAAATTTTAACTGTTAGGTTTCTTATGGTTCTGAAGAATGAACGAGTTACAGCTCCCTAAAAATGTCTTATTAACAACAAATCATTAAAAAACTGACACAAACATTAGAAAAATTTCAATAAACTACAGCAGAAAGCTGTGACTATAACTACTGTTATTAAGTATTTTGCAGGGACCCTTGGGACTTGCAGCAAGTGGGGAGGGAGTCAGAATTTTCTGAATAGTAATAAGAATTTTTTTTTTTTTTTCCCTAGCCAGCAGCAGGGGTTTCCATTTATGCCAACTTTCTGACAGCCAGAAGAAAAGGGATTTATTTCTGGAATACTATGAAGGGGTAACAGAATTTTAACAAATCTGTAGGTCTCATTCATAAGTTTCAAAACCAAACACCATCAAACCCCAGAACAGTCTGTGAAAAGATTACTTTCATGGTAAAATACAGCTTGTGGCAATCTGAAGTGATAGCTTTTGGGTTGTGCACATGTATTTGAGAGATTATTGTCTGCACAGGTGCCTTCTGGTTTTGTTCTTTTTTTACCTGTTAAAGCCAGAAGGGGTGCTGGAATGTGCTGAAACATTTGAGCAAGAGCTAGTATGTGAACAAATAACCTGCAGTAAACCTCAGGTCGTCACTCAAGGTCAAACACGATGTGAGTTGTTCCAAAGGTGTGCTGAGGAATACATTCAGTGCAGGGAGCTCTGGGTGAGCCCAAGCAGCAGGGAAAGGGCCTGAACTGCTGAGCCTTGGCAGCACAAAGTGCCCTTGACCTTGGCACAGCCGGGGACTGGACACTCCGAATGTGGCGGGAGCCCCCAGCCCGTGGGTTGTGAGGGGTAAAAGCCCTGGTGCTCCTTTGTTCGGGGTCCCTCCTCTGAGGCACCAGCTCCAGCTGTTACTGTGTTATTTAGGATTAAATTCTCTTCAGGAACAGGAGTCTGAGGCTCTGCCATGGGACAGCAGGACTGGTAAGGAAGCTTGGTGTGACCGAGTGTGGGATGTGCAGCTGGGAAGGGAAGGGGCCTCAGCCCAGCTCCAGTGGTGCGAGAGGGACTGCCAGAGTGGCTCCTGGGTGGTCAGACAGGAACAGGGAAGCTTCCTTAACAGGGACTAGTTACCCTTGGATACAAAAAAAGAAGGGTGAATGTTGCACTGATAAACTGAAGAGAGCAGGAAGCCTTGGCAATTCAGGAGGATCATTACACAATATGGTAAAAATCAGAAATGTGCAGTGGCTAACATTGCTCTTTGGTCCATTTGGTTTCACAACCCCTTATGTAGTGAATGCAGACAGAATGGTAATTAAAAGTCTAGTGATTATTAATTATAATTTAATTATTAATTGTAAATAAAGTTGTAGTGATTGGCTTATGATGGCAGGCAGCATTCTAAGGTTTTTCGTGATGAAGTATCATATCCTTGGAAAACTATAGCTGGCATGGTAAAGCCGTTGCTTCCCATGGAGGGTGCTTGTGGCCAGCACAGGCTGGGTGTTACTTCAGTGTCTCCATTTGCCAATAAT